AATTTACTCGATTGTCGACTGATGAGCGTTCAAAGGAACTCCATTCTATTCAGGAATCGATCAATGAAAGCTTCAAGGAGCTCAGAAACAGAGAGATGGAATTGGTTTCAGTACGAAAATCGATTGATCAGCGTGTTGAAGAGTTCGAATTGAGAGAGAAGCAATTCGAGAAACTCTTTAAAGAACATGTATTGAAAGAGAAGCAATTCGCTTCAATCCAGAATTCAATTGATAATCAGAGAGCTCGAAGGAAAAGAGAGACGATACCAAGAGCGCGCCAAACAGCTCGAACTGAAAGAGAAACGATACGAAGAACTCTCTAAATCGCTGGAATTGAAAGAGAAAGAGAAAGAATGTGATCTCAGGGCTAAAGTAAAAGTCGAAAAACCAGAATATATGCCTGTCAACAATGCAATGCATTCTTCCTCTTCTTTTGCAAATATTCAATTTTGTATTACAATGGATGGCAAGAATTTGCAACTGTTCTTGAATGAGCACTTGAATGAGCACGATTCCATGCGAGACGAAGTTTATGCTGCTCTTAGAATGTCATCAGACCCTGCAAAGCTTGTGTTGGATGCAATGCAAGGGTTTTATCCTCCATTTTTAAAGAAGGGAGATAAGGAGTTTGAGGGCAGCGTTGTGAGGAGGAGTTGCACCCTTTTGTTGGCGCAGTTGATGAGAGCTTCGCCGCATATCACACCTTCTGTGAGAGAGGAAGCTATGAAACTTGCAGTTGAATGGAAAGAGAAAATGAAAGTAGAGAGTGGGAATTCTCTGGAGGCATTAGGTTTTTTGCAGCTCGTAGCAACTTACGGTCTGATTTCTGGTTTCGATAGGGATGAGATATTAAAGCTTTTTGAAACTATTGCTCAGCATAGAGACGCCCCTGCATTATGTCGGGCTCTTGGTTTTGCTGACAATGTCCCTGGTAAGCTTTCAGCAATTGAGAAATTTCCTAGTTCAAATAAGTACATCTAATGAAGATCTTGCAGATTGGTCTGTGTAATATTGTGTCATATGTAGATGAATTAATTGATTATATTCTAATGGTCAAAAGGGACTATTGATATGATTAGTTAATTTGAGTTCTTGCTATAATCTCTTTGGGATCGAGTAAAATTGAGATGATTAGAAAAACCTTTTTTTTTTTGGGGGGAGGGGGTGGTGTTGATTGTTGAGGTATACTCTTAGGTTTTTTGCAGCTTGTAGCAACTTACGGTCTGGTTTCTGGTTTCGATAGGGATGAGATATTAAAGCTTTTTGAAACTATTGCTCAGCATAGAGACGCCCCTGCATTATGTCGGGCTCTTGGTTTTGCTGACAATGTCCCTGGTAAGCTTTCAGCAATTGAGAAATTTCCTAGTTCAAACAAGTACATCTGATGAAGATCTTGCAGATTGGTCTGTGTAATATTGTGTCATAAGTAGTTGACTTAATTGATTATATTCTGATGGTCAAAAGGGACTATTGATATGATTATTTAAATTGAGTTCCAGCTATAATTTCCTTGGGATTGAGTAAAATTGACCTGATTAGAAAAACTGTTTTTGGGGGAGGGGTGTGGTGTTGACTGTTGATACTTTTAGGATCCTCGTATTACCTTGGTGATAAAATGAAAATTTTGAATTTGTTAGGAAAAGAAATGATTTTTTTTAATTTAATGACTTGTGTATAGATCTCTATGTCTGATATAGTAATGTAATATACTCGATGCATGGAGTACTTTCTTTTTCTGTATCTTTCAAAATCAGATTGTTGAGTTCTCTATGTTGTGTTAACTTCCTCCTTTAGTAGGGTAGAAGTTCAGTATCTTGTATAGTTGGGGTTTTTGAGCAGAGGAGGTGTGAGACACATGACAATAAAAAAGGTCAAATGGGAATGTATTGATGAAGGCTGCTATTTGTGTGTTTTGTGAAACAGATCTTATTCCAAGGCTTATCAATAGAATGCAGAATCTTGCAGCTATTAGATTTATACTTGCATTTAAGCTGGTTGGCAAGTTCCATCCAATTCCCATCTTGGAAGTCTACTACAAGTACTGGAAGAAGATTGCCGATAAAACTTGTGAGGGAGAAAACAATTTAACTAATGAACAGGTTTATTAGCCAGCCCTTTTCTTTTTGCTATTTAGTGACTCTTCCTGGTATATGTTTATATTTTTTTATCTGTGAGTGGGTTATAAACTTCCTTACAGATTGCAATTGCAAAGAAGACCATAGCTGCTCTGGAGGCTGTTGTCAGATGCATTAAAGATCACAAGCTTGAAACTGAGCACTCGGCTGAGAGCGTTGAAAAAATCATTGCAGTTCTGAACAAGAAGGCAAACAGCGGATGTATTATGTCAGCTGCCCCCAAGCCCCAACTGCAACAGCGGAGTGAGAAGAAATGTGATACCCCTTTTGATTCCATCCCCAAGACTCAAACACATCATGAGAGCGGAATTAAGCGTCTGAGAGAAGCTGTACCGGAAGATACTCCAAATGCTTCTATTTGTGCTGCTTCCACCATTCACTCGGTACATTCTCCTCATCGACAGCCAGCGGACTTCTCTGCCAATGAAGGTGCTGTATTTGGGTCCATCTTCTGGACACTATGAGCTCATACCCTTGAGGGACTTGATACATTAATCTTTTTTTGCCCTAGGGGTGGACTGAGAGAAGCTGGTTATTATGATTGGCCAATGTCATTTCCTGGCCCTATGGACACACTAAGGAAACCTGGTTAGTAGCCTGAGCAATGCGCTTAGGGAATATTATTATTTACGATGGGCCAGTGCCATTTGGGGGCTAGGTTTGCCATCTCCATTACACTGAACTTCTACCCTCGATGAAAATTCCTGAGTCATAAATTTTACTGTCAGGCAAAATTTTACATCATTAGACAACCTCCTTTTGAAAGAGTTAAGCATGCCCATAAGACCACACTGTGTTACCTGAATACGTCAGTTGGGATTTGTGCGTATTTCTTATGGTTTCATCAGTAGTATCGAGCATGTTCATGTATTTGCCTTAGATTTTAACCCTAGGATGCTATCAATGATATGAGGATTGGTTGGGGTGGGGAACTGATATGGAAACTTCTATTACTCTTTTGTCTGGTTTCTTGGCTGTGATAAAATCTTCGATGAAATTTCTGATATACTTCAATTGTCAGTAAATCTCTCTCTCAATCAGTACTTGAATGCTCTACCTCTCACAAGTGCTAACACTCGATGAGCTATGCAGTAACATTTGTTTTACCTCTATGAACCATTTTTTATTTAATACTGGGAGTTCTGTTAAATTTACTCTCATTTCATTCTTATTCTTTTATATCTGACTCAAGTTGGATCTTTCTGTTTTCTTTTTTCCTTTTTTTCTGGTTGCCCCACCGGGGAACTGATTGATGAAATTTGATTTTTGTCTCTTTTGTGCAACAGATATGATTCAAAGACTTATTGAAAGAAGACAGAATCTCGAGGCTATCAAATTTATATTTGAATTTGAGCTGGTTGACAAGTTCCCTCCAGTTCCCATCCTGGTAGACTACTACAGATATTGGAAGGAAATTGCCGATGAAATTTATCAGAGAGGAAACAACTTAACTAGAGAACAGGTGTGTTTGCCCCTGCTTTTGCTATTTTAGTGCCTTCTTCCTTGTGTAAGATCCAATTTCTATATCCATCTACGGGTTATTAACTCCTGCTTACAGGTTACGATTGCAAAGAAGAGCATAGCTGCACTGAAGGCACTAATCAGATGCATCGAAGATCACAAGCTTGAAAATGAACACTCGACTGAGAGCATTGAAAATTTCATTGCAGTGCTAAGGAAGAAGGCAAACAGTGGCTATATTGTGCCAGCAGACCCCAAGCCTCAGCTGCAACCGCAGAGTGTGAAGAAATGTGATGCCCCTTCTGATTCCACCACCAAAACCCAAGCGGAACAGCAGAGCAGAATTAAGCGTATGAGAAAAGTTGTACCAAAAGATACTCCAAATGCTCCTGTTTGTGCTCCTTCCACCACTCACTCGATACACACACCTCATCGGAATTCAGCAGGCTTCTTTACCGATGAAGGTGGACGGTATATGAGCTCATACACTGACAGTCGAGTCTCTTCTTTTACTAGGGATGCACAGAGAGAACCTGGTTACCATGATGGACCAATATCGTTTCCTGGCCATAGCACACCAAGGGAACCTGATTGTTACGACGGACCATCACCATTTGGTAGCCCTAGGTGAATGCATCACCTTCTACCCTCGATGAAAACCATTCCACGGGTTATTTTTTGGTCGTTTGACAACCTGTGTCTCTACATTCATCCTTTGGAAAGGGTAGCATAACCTTGAGATCACATTTTCATAGAGGCATTTTTTTGGTCATTAGACAACTTGTATATAAGCTGAACATAAGAGTAGGTTTTTATGGAGGAGAAAAGAAATGTAACAAATGCTGACTCTTCTTTTCTCAGCTTTCTTGGCAGATATGTGCTTTTAACAAATTTATTCAATGTGATTGAATTGGCTGATCCTTCAACTTTTTGTTAATTCTCTCTCTATTTGAAGGCTGATTTCAAACACAGGTGGATATTGTGTGTGCAGATTTGTGTGTTTTAACAGTGAGTTATGTAGTATAATTTTCATTGTTTCTCTTTAGTATTGTCAATCTTTTTTTTTTTCCTCTTCAAATTCAGTTCATTTAATGGACAAAATAGAAAAAAGAAAATGATTTTTTCGGATTCAGAAAGATGTATCACACTGCACTTTTTTGTTTGTTTTTCTACCATGTGCCATAACAAAACCTTTACAATTGAAAAGCAAAGGTAATTGTAGAATTAAGCTCAATTCACAAATTTTTTTAAACCAAGCACAATAAGAGTGTGAAGTCTGTGTACATAATTGTGTGTGTGGGGCGTGTGATTTAAATGAAAAAGAAAAAGAGAAAAGAAATATAAAATAAAGTGGGACCCACCTCACTTTTTAAGTGATTGGTCTCTGCTGCTCTCTCTCTCTCCCGACTGCTCTCGGCTTCTCCTTTTTTCTTTTTTCTTTTCTTTTCACTTCAACTTCCATTATTGATTGCTCCTTCATCTTTTGTCGGATTGAGGTGCCGTTTGAGGCAAAACGAAGCTTGTAGCGAGCTTTACGCATCCATACTATCAATTTTCAGTTTTGAGTCTTCCTTGGAGCTCGAATTTGGAGGACCTATTCTAGGGATTTCGGCTTGGATTGTGAGGTAGGGACATCTTAAGCCATGGAATCTTGCTCTATAATGAATCATGCTCCTCTATGTGTGTTATAGCATGTTTAATTGTTGTTGATTTTGATTAAAATGATTTAATTGACAACATGCTAGTTATGTAAATGTGTATAACATGGTTGAATGAAAAGTATGTCTATGTGATGGTTGTTTACATTTTTTTTTGAGGTTACTAACGTGCTATAATGATGCCATGAGAACATGCTTATTTATTATCGTGCTAAGTTCCCATTTGTCATTATATTGAGATTATGACATGAGCCTACATCTCATTGGGTTGCATGAAAAAGGGAAGTGGTTGTCTTGAAATGAAAATGGGGATTTGGGAATGAATGTTTTGGAAAAAAATTGGTTTTGACAAACCCGGTCGCTGCGGGGTTACCAACGGGCCAGAGGTTAATGTAGCCTAGGGAGGACTAGGGAGAGTACCCTAGCGTGGTTGAGCTATTCGGGCCCCTCGACGGCGCCACGGGGTCACCAAGGGCCTAAGGACGGTAGCCAATCCTCCTCTCGTCGCGGCGGGGTTACCAAAGAGGGTTACATTAACTTTGAACGTGATGGTTTTGAGAATGAAAACGGGGAGTGACATTAGCATGCATTGCATCTCACTCCATTTGCATTTGTGTGTGATTGGATTTGACTTGTACTTGTAATTATTTTTCCCCTTCAATGCATGTCCCTAATCTCCCATTGGCCTATGCTTTATTTGGATTCACTAGGACACAAGAATTGTGTCTTAAGTGTCACCTGCTGAGCTATATGCTCACCCCTATATATATATATTTTTTTTTCAGGTCTTGGAAAGGAACTGGTGGATGACAACCCACCTCAAGCTTGAACGGCGTTAGAAGTCCACTTTTGTATCTTTGTATATTCCCCATTATTTTGTAAAACACTAGAAGTGCAAAGATGTATAATTATTTTGTGGAACTTTGTCATGTAATATAACTAAAGTATTGATGATGTTTTGGATGGGGATTTGATAGTATGCAACTTGTTGATGAATGGATGGATAATCCTAGTTTGAAGCATTGTCTAGATTAGTTGGTTGTATCATTATCTTTTGTTGCCGTGAATTCAGAATTTGAGCCATGACAGGTTAAAAATGCAATTAAACAGGTTGTGATAGGCCTATTTTTAGGGGAGGTCATGCCGATTTTTTTTTTTTGTTTAAAAAGTATTAGTTTTGAGTCATTACAAATTTGGTATCAGAGCAAAGGTTCGAAAACCTTTAGGACGACGGGTAGAGGCCTACTTAGGGTCACATGGAATGTTGTTTGTGTTGCTTACTTGACTACTTGCTACGTGATATTTTACTTAAATGAGCATGTTTAACTGCCTATGTGCTTACTGCTTACTTGTTTATGTTAAAATGTTTCTTGTATAGTCTTGCATGCTAAGTGTTGTACGGTATCAATTCTTGTTGAGTCGTTCACAGTCTTAGTGTCATGTTTCTGAATCATTTTCTCGTTTTATAACACAATGTCACGGCGTGAGGAACCTAGAGAAGTTGGCCCTAGGCCAACAAGGAGTGATGTTGGTGAGAGCTCTAGCTCCAAACCGGAGGAGCTAAATGATGAGAACATGCTTCTTAGGGACTTGATTCCCCCAAGAGCTGTTCCCCCAAGAAAAGAGAATGTTGAAACACCCGTACCCGTAGAAGTGGGTGAAGGTTCTGTAGCACTGGAGTTTAATCGTTTGTTGCAAAATGTCGTGAGGGCAACGATTGCTGCTCAGTCGCAGTCAGCACCACAACCTACAGTTCAAGTTGAGGAGACGCCAGCTCAGAAGCGTCTCAAGATCATAAAAGGGTTTTCTCAGTTGATGCCGGTAGTGTTTGAGGGCAGTGCGGATCCAATGGTAGCAGATGACTACTTGGATTAAGTTGAAACCCAACTAACCTCAATGGATGTGATAGAGGATCACTTGAAGATCATCCTAGCAACTTAAAAGTTTACTATGGATGCCAAGGTTTGGTGAAAGTCGATCATCAACCAGTACAAGATTGAAGAGATGAGCTGGGACAGGTTCAAGGAACTGTTCTATGAAAAGTACTTTCCGCTTTCCAAAAGATGGGAGTTACAAGACCAGTTTCATAATCTTATTCAAGGGAACATGTCAGTGGCGGAGTATGAGAACAAGTTCACCTCACTCTCCCGTTTTGCTCCAGAAGTGGTGAGAGATGAAGCTAACAAGACTCAGAAGTTTGTCTCGGGTCTTAATGATCGAATGAGGCCGTTGATCATGGCACAGTTTATTAAGGTTTACTTTGAAGCAGTGGAAAGGGCTTTGATGCTGGAGGCTGACAATAGAGAGAATGATGCAAGAAGAGAGCAATTGAAGCAAAAGAGGGGTGCAGGGCCATCCTCAGAGGGACCTTCTTGGAAAAGGAATAAGGGCAGTCCATCTTAGTTTCAGGGACAACAGTCTATAAGATCTGCTCCTACCACTCCTATGCCAGCTGGATCTGACAGGAGCGCAGTTGTTTGTTATCAGTATCAGCAGCCTGGGCATTACAAGTCCAGTTGTCCGATAAGATCGTCTTCAGTTTCGTCAGCTCCGAAGGCTTGTTATGGGTGTGGCCAGCAGGGTCACTTGATTCGTGATTGTCCAGGCCAGGGAGCAGGCACAGGTAGTGGCAGGGGGTCACGACAGAGGCCGTTACAATCGGCTACAGTTTAGTCAGGTTTCAGACCACCACCACCACAGCCTACTATGTCTTCACAGGGTTCACGATCAGTTAGGAGGGATACTCCTACTATGACAGTGCAGCAGTCAGGTGTTCAGGTTGGCAGTCCTCAGGCACAAGTACCACAGGGACGTGTTTTTGCACTGGCACAGACCGATGCATCTTCTGGACCGTCAGTTCTTCGAGGTATATTTCCAGTGTTTGGTTATTGGGTCTGTGTTTTGTTTGACTCTGGTGCATCTCATTCTTTCATTTCATCATCATTTGCACTTGCATCGGGGTTGGAAGTTAGTTTCATGGATCGGGCGTTATGTGTTGATACGCCAGTTGGGGTTTCAGTGTCATTGAGCTGAGTTGTGCGGGATTGCTCCATTGTGATAGCCGGGCAGACCTTTGTGTTTGACCTTATCCTCCTGGAGATGACTAGCTTTGATGTCATTCTTGGGATGGATTGGTTGGCCTTCTTTCATGCCACGATTGATTGTTTCAAAGGGAGAATTACAGTTTGCACTCCCGAGGGAGACTGTTTCTTTTTCATGGGAGATCGGAGTGATTCCCACATTTCATCGTTTTATGAAGTTCGTGAACGAAGTCATGGTGATTATTTCTTAGCTAGCCTTTTAACTGAAGAAGATGATGTCGTGGGAGAAGTTTATCCGGCGATTGTTTGTGACTTCTTGGACGTTTTTCCAGAGGATTTGACAGAGTTGCCTCCACACCGAGAAGTGGAGTTCACTATTGATTTGATGCATGGTACTGCGCCGATTTCTATGGCACCGTATCGTATGGCACCAGTTGAATTGGAAGAATTGAAGAGGCAGCTTGATGATTTGAGGATGAAAGGTTTCATCCGACCGAGTGTGTCACCGTGGGGCGCACCGGTCTTGTTTGCTAAGAAGAAAGATGGTTCGTTGAGGTTGTGCATTGATTATCGGAAGTTGAATCATGCCACCATCAAGAACAAGTATCCTTTGCCAATGATAGATGATTTATTTGATCAGTTGAAGGGAGCCAGTTGTTTCTCGAAGATTGACTTGAGGTCTGGCTATTATCAGTTGCGGGTTAGGGATGAGGATATCCCGAAGACAGCATTCCGTACACGGTATGGACACTATGAGTTCCTTGTTATGCCTTTTGGCTTGACTAATGCGCCAGCGGCATTCATGGACTTGATGAATCGGCGTCTTTCACGATTACTTAGACCAGTTTGTGGTAGTTTTCGTGGATGACATTCTTGTGTACTCACGGACTCGGGAAGATCACGAGGTCCATTTGAGTATTGTTTTACAGATTTTGCGGGAACACTGATTGTATGCCAAATACGAGAAATGTGAGTTTTGGCTACAGGAGGTGAAGTTTTTGGGGCATGTTGTTTCAGAAGGTGGAGTATCAGTTGATCCATCAAAGGTTGAAGCAGTTTTGACTTGGGAGCGACCCAAGAATGTGTTTGAGATCCGCAGTTTTCTTGGTTTAGCGGGTTACTATCGGAGATTTGTAAAAGATTTCTCCCGTTTGGCAGCTCCTATGACCCGTTTGACCCGAAAAAGGGTCAAGTTTGTCTGGAATGAGGCCTGTGATTCATCTTTTCAGGAGTTGAAGACGAGATTGACTACAGCGCCAGTGTTGGTGATACCTGAGCATGGCTTGGGTTATGTGATCTATTGTGATGCTTCACGTGACGGGTTGGGATGTGTGTTGATGCAGGATGGTAGAGTAGTGGCTTATGGGTCTCGACAGTTGAAGACTCACGAGCACAACTACCCTACTCATGACCTGGAGTTAGCAGCAGTTGTATTTGCCTTGAAGTGTTGGAGACATTACTTGTATAGTGAGAGATTTGAGGTATTTTCAGATCACAAAAGTCTCAAGTACCTTTTTTCCCAAAAGGACTTGAACAACAGACAGAGACGATGGGTTGAGTACTTGGAAGATTACAACTTTGATTTGCAGTATCATCCGGGCAAGGCAAATGTTGTAGCTGATGCCTTAAGCCAAAAATCTCGTGGAACTTTGGCCAGTTTAGCTATTCGGAAGTGGAAGATGCTTAAAGATCTGGCAGAGATGGGATTACAGTGTTTTGATGATGATGGTTACAGTGAGTCGGCATTCTTATTTAGTTTTGTAGCTCAGCCTACTCTTGTTGTACGAGTGATTGAGTCAGAGACAGGACCCGGACTTAGATGCCATCCACGCTTTGATCTCTAGTGGTGAGACAGTGGAAGATTGGGCCTTGCATGCAGATGGGGGTCTACGGTTCAGGGGTGTGTTGGTGGTTCCCACAGTATGTCGTGAGGATGTCCTACGGGAGTTTCACACTTCCCGTTTTGCAGTTCATCTAGGTGGTACTAAAATGTATCACAATTTGAGACGTCAGTATTGGTGGAGCGGGACGAAGAATGATGTTGCACAGTTTGTGGCTAGATGCCTTACCTGTCAGCAGGTGAAGGCCGAGCATCAGAGGCCAGCAGGTTTGTTGCAACCATTACATGTAGCGCAATGGAAATGGGAACATATTGCTATGGATTTTGTGACAGGTTTTCCAAGGTCAAGGAGGGGCAATGAGGCCGTATGGATCATCATTGACAGATTGACCAAGACGGCTCACTTTTTGCCTATTAAGGCAACAGATGATGCAGAGAAGTTTGGTGTTCTTTATGTGAAGGAGATTGTAAGGTTGCATGGAGTTCCAGTAACCATTGTTTCAGATAGGGATGCTAAGTTCACTTCGAAGTTCTGGGAAGGACTTCAAGCAGCGTTTGGTTCAGCGTTGCATCTTAGTACGGCATTCTATCCACAGACAGACGGTCAGTCAGAGCGTGCTATCCAGATTTTGGAGGATATGCTTCGGGCATGTATACTTGATTTGGGAGGTAGTTGGGAGGATCACCTTCCACTTATTGAGTTTGCCTACAACAACAGTTATTAGGCGAATATCCAGATGGCTCCATTTGAGGCGTTGTATGGTAGACCTTGTAGGTCTTCTGTTTGTTGGACTGAGGTAGGTGAGACAGCCGCCTTAGGACCCGACATTGTACTCGAGACTACTGAGAAGATTAAGTTAATAAGACAGAGGTTACTTACAGCTCAGAGCCGACAGAAGAGCTATGCGGATAAGCGGAGATGACCGTTATCCTTTGAGGTGGGAGACCACGTTTTTCTACGGGTTTCTCCACGGAAGGGATTGATGAGATTCGAGAAAAGTGGCAAGTTGTCACCACGATTTATTGGACTGTTTGAGATTTTGGACCGAGTAGGAGAGGTTGCCTACAGGCTTGCTTTGCCACCACAGTTGGATAGGGTCCACAATATTTTCCATGTATCGATGTTACGGAAGTACGAACCGGATCCATCTCACATTTTGAGTTGGGTAGATGTGGATATTGATGAGGATGTTTCCTACGAGGAAGGACCAGTTCAGATCCTTGACACTCAGCAGAAGGTGTTGAGGAATAAGATAATACCAATGGTGAAAGTCCTTTGGAGACACCACGGAGTCGAAGAGGCTACTTGGGAGCTTGAACAAGAGGTTCGGTCCAAGTACCCAGCGTTGTTTTCTTCCTCAGGTATGTCTTGATTTCGGGGACGAAATCCTTATAAGTTGGGGAGAATGTGAAGTCTGTGTACATAATTGTGTGTGTGTGGTGTGTGATTTAAATGAAAAAGAAAAAGAGAAAAGAAATATAAAATAAAGTGGGACCCACCTCACTTTTTAAGTGATTTGTGAGACCAAAATTGGTCTCTGCTGCTCTCTCTCTCTCCCGACTGCTCTCGGCTTCTCCTTTTTCCTTTTTTCTTTTCTTTTCACTTCAACTTCCATTATTGATTGCTCCTTCATCTTTTGTAGGATTGAGGTGCCGTTTGAGGCAAAACGAAGCTTGTAGCGAGCTTTACGCATCCATACTATCAATTTTCAGTTTTGAGTCTTCCTTGGAGCTCGAATTTGGAGGACCTATTCTAGGGATTTCGGCTTGGATTGTGAGGTAGGGACATCTTAAGCCATGGAATCTTGCTCTATAATGAATCATGCTCCTCTATGTGTGTTATAACATGTTTAATTGTTGTTGATTTTGATTAAAATGATTTAATTGACAACATGCTAGTTATGTAAATGTGTATAACATGGTTGAATGAAAAGTATGTCTATGTGATGGTTGTTTACATTTTTTTTTTGAGGTTACTAATGTGCTATAATTATGCCTTGAGAACATGCTTATTTATTATTGTGCTAAGTTCCCATTTGTCATTATATTGAGATTATGACATGAGCCTACATCTCATTGGGTTGCATGAAAAAGGGAAGTGGTTGTCTTGAAATGAAAATGGGGATTTGGGAATGAATGTTTTGGAAGAAAATTAGTTTTGACAAACCCGGTCGCTGCGGGGTTACCAACGGGCTGGAGGTTAATGTAGCCTAGGGAGGACTAAGGAGAGTACCCTAGCGTGGTTGAGCTATTCAGGCCCTTCGACGGCGCCACGAGGTCACCAAGGGCCTAGGGACGGTAGCCAATCCTCCTCTCGTCGCGGCGGGGTTACCAAAGGGGGTTACATTAACTTTGAACGTGATGGTTTTGAGAATGAAAACGGGGAGTGACATTAGCATGCATTGCATCTCACTCCATTTGCATTTGTGTGTGATTGAATTTGACTTGTACTTGTAATTATTTTTCCCCTTCAATGCATGTCCCCAATCTCCCATTGGCCTATGCTTTATTTGGATTCACTAGGACACAAGAATTGTGTCTTAAGTGTCACATGCTGAGCTATATGCTCACCCCTATATATATATATATATATATATATATATATATATTTTTCAGGTCTTGGAAAGGAACTGGTGGATGACAACCCACCTCAAGCTTGAACGGCGTTAGAAGTCCACTTTTGTATCTTTGTATATTCCCCATTATTTTGTAAAACACTAGAAGTGCAAGGATGTATAATTATTTTGTGAAACTTTGTCATGTAATATAACTAAAGTATTGATGATGTTTTGGATGGGGATTTGATAGTATGCAACTTGTTGATGAATGGATTGATAATCCTAGTTTGAAGCATTGTCTAGATTAGTTGGTTGTATCATTATCTTTTGTTGCCGTGAATTCGGAATTTGAGCCATGACAGGTTAAAAATGCAATTAAACAGGTTGTGATAGGCCTATTTTTAGGGGAGGTCATGCTGAATTTTTTTTTTGTTTAAAAAATATTAGTTTTGAGTCGTTACAAAGAGTTTACCAATAGGGTTTTGTGATTTAATAAAATCCCTTATTTCCAGCAAAAAGAGTGACTCATCTCACTAGGAATTCATCTTTTATTTAAAGCTAAAATTTTCTTTAGCTCCATGAACAAAATTTTCTTAATATTCAAATGATATTGCTTCTTCCACTCAAATCAAGGAATTCCTTAATTATGTTGCAAACCAATACAATGTCCTCATGATTAAATAAAAGGGGAACATTATACGAATTGACTTTTTTGTCTTCACTGTATTATTTTTTATTATTATATTTTTTTTCTTCCGAAAGGAAAAAAAACATTCTTCTAGGCTTTTGCTTAGTAGCTCAAATATAAAAAATGAAAATGATTCTTTTGGTTAATTAAAATTTAAAAGATATTTAAAATGGTCATTACTATTTATGAAGTCCACTAAATATTGATGTACTAAAATAATGTACACAATCTCTTCGATGCACCGAATCGCACTCACTTGTTTTGTACCGACTTCTCTCTCTCTTTCCCGCGCTCCTCCCCAAAACACAATCTCGGTAGCCCCCACACAGACTGACACCCACCTATATACTCTATATTACTCGTATCAGGCTTTTCTAGTGTTTGAAATTTGAAAATGTGCTTGGCAGAACAATTTATCTTCTAAATTAGGGTTTACATTTCTCGCTGTATCTCTCTCCACGCACACACTCACACACAACAATCATATGCATAAAGGGCTTTTATTGGGTTGGAATTTGGAAATGTGTTTTGCAGAGCAATTTATCTTCTAAATTAGGGTTTACATTTCTCGCTTTATCTCTCTCCACACACACTCGCACACACAAATATATATACACTCTATGTTATAAGGCTTTTGAATTTGGAAATGGGCTTGGCAGAAGTATTTATCTTCTAAATTAGGGTTTACATTTCTCGCTGTATTTGTATAATTGTATGTCTATTGTTTGGTATTATATAATATGCATGATCTAGGGTTTTATATATATATGCACTCACACATATAGCAGGATGGATTTAAAGATCTCAGCTGTTATGAAGCTCGTCGATTCGAAGAAAGAAAACCTCCGTAAAGCCTTCGAGCATTCACTCCTTTTGCTCACTCTTCAGTGGAAGGATTTAGAGGAAGTTTTTGATTCAACTCGAAAATCGATTGAACAACGGTTCAATGAACTCGAATCAAAAGAGAAGCATCTCGATTCAGTTCAACTGTCGTGGAAAGAGCGCTCTGAAGAAAGGTTCAAAGAGCTTCGGTTGAAAGAGGAAAAGTTGGATTTAACTCGATTGTCGATTGAGGAACGGTGTAAGGAGCTCGATTCTGTACAGGAATCGATCAATGAAAGATTCAAGGAGCTTGGAAACAAAGAGAAGGAATTGGATTCAGTACAGAAATCGATTGAACAGCGTGTAAAAGAGCTCGAATCGAAAGACAAGCAATTCGAGAAACGATTTAGAGAATTTGAATTGAAAGAGAAACAATTTAATTCAATCCAGAAGTCAATTGAGAATCCCTTCGAAGAGCTCGAAGGCAAAGAGGAACGATTCGAAGAACTCTTCAAATCGCCTGAATTGAAAGAGGAAAAATGTGGTGTTGGTGCAATGTAAAAGTCGAAAAACCAGAGTATATGCCGGTCAACAATGCAACATTTTCTTCTTCTGCAAATCCTCGATTTTGCATTACCATGGATGGCAAGACTTTGCAACTGTTCCTGAATGAGAGTTTGAAAGATCACAATTCCATGCGAGACGAAGTTTTTGCTGCTCTTAGAATGTCATCAGACCCTGCAAAGCTTGTGTTGGATGCAATGCAAGGGTTTTATCCTCCATTTTCAAAGAAGGGAGATAAGGAGTTCGAGGGAAGCGTTGTCAGGAGGAGTTGCACCCTTTTGTTGGCGCAGCTGATGAGAGTTTCGGCACATATCACGCCACCTGTGCGAGAGGAAGCTACGAAGCTTGCAATTGACTGGAAAGTGAAAATGAAAGTAGAAAGTGACAACTCTTTGGAGGCATTGGGTTTTTTGCAGCTTGTTGCAGCTTATGGTCTACTTTCTGGTTTCGATAGGGATGAAATGTTAAAACTTTTTGAAACTATTGCTCAGCATAGAGAAGCCCCTGGATTATGTCGGGCTCTTGGTTTTGCTGACAAGGTCCCTGGTAAGCTTTCAGCAATTAAGAAATTTTCGAATTCGAAGAAGTACATCTAAATGTAGATCTTGTTTTTTATTTATTTATTACTAATAAAAAATATATATTGTGTCATATGTAGTTGACTTAATTGATTATATTCTGATGGTGAAAAGGGACTATAGATATGATTATTTATTTATTTTTTGATAATTAGATATGATTATTTAAGTTGAGTTCTAGCTATAATCTCCATGGGATATAGTAAAATTGAGCTGACTAGAAAATTTTAAGGGGGAGGGAAGGTATACTTAGGATCCTTATATTACCTTACCTTAGTAGATAAAATTTTGAATTTAATGACCTATCTATAGATCACTGTGTTTGATATATTAATATTATATACTTGATTCATTGAGTGCTTTCTTTTTCCATCTATCTTCAAAATCAGATTGTTGAGTTCTCTACGTTATGGTAAATTTCTCCTTTAGTAGGATAGAAGTAATATTTTGTATAGTTGGTGTTCTTAGCTGGGGTTACTGAGCAGATGAGGCAAGACACATAACAATGAAAACAGCCAAATGGGAATATATTGATGAAACTTGTGCTGTTTGTGTCTTTTGTGAAACAGATTTTATTCAAAGGCTTATCAATAGAAAGCAGAATCTTACGGCTATTAGATTTATATTTGCATTTGAGCTGGTTGGCAAGTTCCATCCAATTCCAGAATCCAGTCTTGGAAGCGTACTGCAAGTACTGGAAGAATATTGCCGATAAAACTTGTGAGAGAGAAAACAAGTTAACGGAAACACAGGTTTGTTTGCCCCTTCTTTTGCTATTTAGTGTCTCTTCCTGGTGTGTGTATATATATATATATATATATATATATATATTATCTGTTTATGGGTTATAAACTTGCTTACAGATTGCAATCGCAAAGAAGACCATAGCTGCTCTGAAGGCTGTAGTTGGATGCATTAGAGATCACAAGCTTGAAACTGAACACTCGGCTGAGAGCCTTGAAAAAATTATTGCTGTTCTGAACAAAAAGGCAAACAGCAAGTGTATTGTGCCAGCTGCCCCCAATCCCCAACTGCAACTGCAGAGTGAGAAGAAATGTGATGTCCCTTCTGATTCAATCACCAGGACTCAAACACAACAGAAGAGTGGAATTAAGCGTCTGAGGGAGGCTTTACCCGAAAATACTCCAAATGCTCCTGTTTATGCTGCCTCCACCATTCACTCTGTACATTTTCCTCATCGGCAGCCAGCGGACTTCTCTGTCAATGAAGGTGCACTGTATTTGGGTCCATCATCTGGACACTTTATGAGCTTATACCCTTGATACACGAATCCCTTTAATGCTTTGATGCACTGAGAGAACCTGGTTTGTATGATTTGCCAAAGTCATTTCCTAGGCCTATGGACACATGAAAGAAACCTGGTTGGTAGCCTGAGCAATACGCTGTAGGCCAGTGCCATTTGGTGGCTAGGTTTGCCAACTTCATTACACTGGCCTTTCTATCCTTGATGAAAATTCCGGAGTCTTAAATTAATAAATTTTACTGACAAATAAATATTTGGGTCGTTAGCCAACTTCTGTCTCTACATGCCTCATTTTGAAAGAGTTAATCATGTCCATAAGACCACGCAGTGTGTTTCCTGAATACATCATTGGGGATTTGTGCGTATTTCATATGGTTTTGTCCGTAGAGTTGAGCATGTTAATGTATTTGCCTTTTATTTTAACCTTAGGATGCTAGTCTTTTCTCTGGTTTCTTGGCAGTGATAAGCTTCCACCAAATTTCTGATACTTTAATTGTTGTTAAGCCCCTCTCTCTCTCACACACACACAGTACTTCAGCGCTCTACCTTCTCCAAGTGCATACACTCACTGAACTATGCCTGACAGTGCTTTTACCTCTATGTACCATTTTTTATTTAATACTGGGATTCTGTTGAATAAACTTTTATTTCATTTTTTTTCTTCTATATTAGTCTCAAGTTGGGTTTTTTGTTAACAAAATAAAAAATTCCCTGGTTGCCCCACCTGGGAATGGATTGATGAAATCTAACATTTGTCTGTTTTGTGCAACAGATATGATTCAAAGCCTTATTGAAGGATGGCAGAATATTGAGGCTATTAAACTTATATTTGAATTTGAGCTGGTTGGGAAGTTCCCTCCAGTTCCCATCTTGGAAAATTACTACAAATATTGGAAGAAAACTGCTGATGAAATTTGTGAAAGAGAAAACAACTTGACTAGAGAGCAGGTGTGTTTGCACCTTCTTTTGCTGTTTTAGTGCCTTCTTCCTAGTGTAAGATCCAATTTCTATATGTGCTTAATTGGGCTGTTAAAATTTGCTTACAGATTACGATTGCAAAGAAGAGCATAGCTGCTCTGAAGGCTGTAATCAGATGCATCAAAGATCACATGCTTGAAACTGAACACTCAACCGAGAGCATTGAAATATTCATTGCCGTGCTGAGAAAGAAGGCAAACAGTAGCTATATTGTGCCAGCAGACCCCATGTTTCAGCTAGAACCGCAGAGAATGAAGAAATGTGATGCCCCTACTGATTCCATCCCCAAAACTCAAGCAAAACAGAAGAGCAGAGTTAAGATGGATAGGAGAAAAGCTGTATCGAAAGATATTCCAAATGCTCGTGTTCGTGTTCCTTCCACCATTCATTCGATACATGCACCTCCTACCGGACGAGGCGGACGCTCTCTGAGCTCATACCCGGATAGGCCAGTCTCTTTTTTTGCTGGGAATGCAAAGAGAGAACCTCGTTACCATATGGACCATTATCGTTTTCTGGCCCTATGGACACACAAAGGGAACCTGAGTATCACGATGAACCACCACCTTTTGGTAGCCCTAGGTGTGCGCTTGGCGAATCTGATATTTATGATGTGCTGGTGCCCTTTGGTGACTTTGATTTACCACCTTCATTCCACCAACCTTTCTACCCTTGATGAAAACCATTCAACAGGCTCTCATTAAGGAGAAATTATTACATGGTCTCAGACCAATCACCATTGGACACGTAAGCAAATGTTTTTGCTTATGTGTCCAATGGTGGTTGACCGGGACCATCTAAAAATTTCTCTACATTCCTCCTTTTTGAAAGGGTACCATGTCCATAGGAGCACATTTTCATAGATAGGCAATCTTTTGGTCATTAGTAAGAGTTTTTGTGGAGGAGAAAAGAAATGTAAAGATTTGCGGACTCTTCTTTTCTCTCCTCTTAATTTAGCTTATTTAATGGACAACACAGGAAAGGGAAAATGGTTGGTATTGTAATGACTCTAATGTAATTGTGATGTTTGAGTCACTGCATTTCGTTATCTACAAAAGTAGATGATTCATTTGATTATTGATGAACGAAATGGGTTGTGCCTGTTGACCCTGATTTTAATCATCTTTGATCAGGATTTATTTTCTTCTTTTAACTTGAGGAACTGTATAGGTTCATAATTTTGGGACACAGTTGTCATGTCAAAAGCATACACAAACACACTTTTTCGGTGTGTTTGAATTCTCAAAATTTTCACTTTTAAATAGTAGAGAAGATAGCTCAAGCTTTAATCATTTTGCTTTTCTAAGATATATCCGTTTGTTTGTTTGGACAGAAAATATTTTTATATAAAACTGTTTTAGGTAAAAAAAAAAAAATTATTTTTATTTTTTTGAGTTCAGTAAATGTCCTGAAAAAAAAAAATAATAAATAAGAATCAAAACACAAGTTATTTTTTGTTAGCTTTTGATCAAATATTTTGTTCAGTAACCGAAGAAATAAAAAAAAAAAAAATCTTTTATAATTACATCCAGATGGTCAGAACTTTAGCTGGGTTCGAATCCTACTAAGAGGTCCACTAAAGATCATAAATTGTTGAAGAAACAAGAAGATCTTTTCTTTCTCCCAGCAATTGAATTTTTCTCTCGATTTTCATCCAAAAATGGACCCGAAAAATGGAGCCGGAACAAGCCAAAAAAATCCTTGTAAAATCAATTCCTACAGAATTTGCAGCCCAAAACAATTGTCACCCTTAGTTGATTAGACATGGACATGGACATGGACTTGACTAGCCAAGACCAATCCAAGGTGAGATTTAGTTTACAAATTAGAGCCCAAAACAATTGATTAAGTGGGCCTATGGCCCATATATTTGGGATGTCTCAGCCCAATGTTCAGCCTATGTCTGTCAGACCTTACCATCTGAAGTGATAGTGCTGAGGTGGATACAGCTATTGTCCTCGTCTCTTTCGAAAATATAAAATTAATTGCACTGAACAACTTTGTATTATCTGACACATGAACTCTTGAATAATGCTTTTGACAAATAATTTTCTTAAACTATCAACAAAACAAAAAACAAAAAATTTTTTTTTGGTTAAAGTGAGAAGGTCCAATAATTTTATTGTCCATTTTGATTTATTTTCTATTAAATTAAATATTTTTTTAAAAATAAACAATTTAATTATAACACATATCCTCATGAATTATGTTTGTACCAATAATTTTCTTCAAATATATATATATATATATATATATATATATATATATATAACTTCCTCAGTTTCAAATAAAATGTCATGCTTTTTTTTTTTGGTCTATTATAAAATAATTGTTATTTTTATTTTTCAAATAATATATTTTATATCTTTTTATATATATTCTTGGAGTTTAAAATTTTAAACTTAAATATTTAAAGACAAATTAATAATTTTTTTAAAAAACAAAACATATCTAACATGTATCCTTAAAAAATTCCACTCTCCAAAAACCACATCTGAATTGAGACAGAAGTGTATTAAGTGGGTAGCTTGGACTTGATATATACATATAAACTAAGTAGGTAGCTTGGACTTACCTAACCACCCCCACCAACTCCCAAACCTAACCATATATAAGGGGCGGCTTGATTCAAGAAGAAGTAGAGAAATGGATCACGATTGGAAAACTTCAAATGTGGTGGGTCCATAAAAATCTTGAAAGGGTTGAGACTCGAAAGTATCTAAAAATTTGGTGACCCAAAACCAACCATTACTTCATGTCGTTTCACGACTTCCAAATAAAACAAAAACATCCACGTTTCACCGTTCAAAATCACATATTTATTTATTTATTTTTTTTTTTCGCAAAATCACATAAATTTTATCATTGGGATGCTCCTTGTATATATATAGTTTTCATGCAAGGTCTTTTTGGTACTATTCTATTTTAATTATAAATAAAATAAATATTTTAAATAGTAATTGAAAATATATTTGATAATATTCATTTGTTACAAGAATTTCAGAAATAAAAACATGAAATATTTAGTAAAAAATATTGTAAATTCAAATAATATAATATTTAATTTAAAAATGTCATCTAAATTTTTTTTTTTAAATAATTTACCATTCATTACTACAGTACTAAACATTAAAGTAGTGTTTCGATTTTTTATTACTATTCAAGAAATATTTTGGTACCACTGTTCATTACAATAGTATTCCGATAAAAATAAAAATATTAAAAATAAAACGCATATCAAATAAACTCTTAATTTTTTATTGACTGCTACTCTTATGTTCAGTAGATACTTTCATTTTAATATGGTAATTTAAATTTTGTTGTTTTTCATACTCCGACTTGGACTCTTTGTTGCATACTACATTTGATGGAATATACTTGCAATGATTCGTATAGGGTAGGGGAAAAAAAAAAAAAAAAAAAAGTTAAAATCAAATGTAGCCATTTTAGGGTCATTGGTGTCATAATATTTCTTTCTAAAAGCAAACTCTTTAAAGCATTCTAAGCAAACAACTTTCTTGATTTTTTGAGTTGCTGCTTTGTATTTTATCCATATCGGTTTAAATTAAATATGACCCACCAACCGTTTTAGAATTTCTTTCATATTTTTTCTCTAACAAACCCCCTCTCTTTAGCTACATTCAACCTCTGTCATCGTTGCTTGACCTTTTTCTGCCTTTTCTCTGGTTGTTTTGATATTTACTTCAATGGGTTCTCTTGACATTTAAAAGAAAACCTTCCAAAAGTTACCCTTGTGTGTGCGTGTGTGTGTGTTAAAGGGTAATGGGTATCCAAAAATTAGTACAGCACACGCATATATATATATATATATATATATATATTTTTTTTTTTCATAAGCTATCCAAAAGTTACTATTTCTTCTCATTGCACTAATCCCATTCTCTATATATAATACATTAAGTGTGTGTGTGGTTGTCTGCATTCAATCGATCAATCTCTTTGAGCACCATTGCTTGAAAAGTTCTCTCTTTCCATTTCAATCTTGTCTTCAAACGTGTAGTTTGGAATCCAAACAGGACACAATCATTACATCAACCACCAATTTGAAACATTATCATCTCACTAATCCACTCTTTTTTTTCCTCTTCGACCAGCATTTCTTGATTTTGATTTTCTTTTTAATTGTATAGTTTTGTTGGTTTTTTTTTTTTAATCTTCTGTTCAAATGGTTAGTGTTGGTATGGTGAGGAATTCAACAATGATTTGTGCTCCATTGATGAGTCAATCCATCGAGCAGATGGAGAGTGATATGCATCAGGCCAAGAAACAAGGTGCTGATGTGGTTGAGATCAGGCTGGACTGTATAAACAATTTCCGGCCGCGCCAAGACCTGGAAATCCTCCTCAAGAACAAGCCTCTGCCAGTTATTATCACATACAAGTATATAACTAACTCTCTGTTTTTTTATGCTTTTGATTTATTCATGTTTAATTTTATGTTATTGAAATAGTTCTGTGCTTGTTATAGTTTTCATAGACTTTCTGTTGGGAATCATGTCAAGAAAAATGATACGTAGTTCGGCAGTCAGACTAATCCGACTATTTGATGTGAGTGAGGACTGACGTCATCAATGATGAGACTGACAGAATCATGACGTGAGTCTCTTCACACATCAAAACAGTCGGAGTTGTCGGATTTCTGACTCGCTAAATGTAGATTGCAAGATAAAAAGGTTCCCATGAGGATGACTTATTTGAGCTGTCATTCAATCCTTATCCACCAAAAGGGTTTTCAGTTCATTAGTGCTTTAGTAGTATTTATGTGCCAAAAGCATTGGAATTGCACAGAAGAAGAAGAAATGGATAGCTTAAAGTCTATGGTCTTTCTTTCTTTAATTAACTGAATTAATGAATTGTGATCTGAACCAGAAATGGAAGTATTGTACACCTGATTGTGTTGAATGACCTTGCTTATCAGACTTAAATTGGGTGTATGACCAAATAAGTTGGTGGAACCCACAAGTGTTTGTTATACAGTGGTGGTGTGTGTGAAAAAAAAAATGATGCTAATACTTAAGAAAATTGAAATTCATGCGATTTGAAACAACATAAATGTAGTGACTGCTTGATTTGTATGGATTCAACTCATCTCAGTGAAAAACGTCCCGTTAATTATTGCTTTAATGAAATATGACAAATTTGTAGATCTTCTGTAGCAGTCAGCTTGATTAGATTGTTTCAGCCACATATTTGCATACTCCTTTTCTTCATTCTTAGCATTAGATGCTAAAGATTTGAAAGTTGAATGGTTGACTAATTAAGGTTGGGTATTTGTGATATGTTTGATCTATTAAATGGGGTTCATCATTCGGTAGATCATTGTCCTTATTCGATGCCAGTGCAGTGACTCCAGGAAGGCATAATTTGTGGACTTTGAGTTAAAATATGGCCTCTCAAATGACTCGCATCTTTCTTTAAATTTTCTCCGTCTTAGTCCTTTCAATTTTATTTTTTATTTTTTTTATTTTTATTTTTTTATTTTTATTATTACAATCTTTGTTCTATATCGTTCTTTTCAATTATAGTAGCCTTTTATATATTTACTAGTTCAGGGTCAGTATTTGTTTTATGTTTTGCGTATGGGAACTGCAGCAAATTATTTGAGTGCTGTGATTGTGAATATGCATGTGACATACATATAATGCAAATGTTGTCCTTTTTTTTTTTTTCAGTTTGGCAGGCATTTCTGTTGCATAACCTTCTAAAATTTAAAAGTCAAAATAACATAAACAAGAAAAGTTGATTGTTCACGTAGAAATTTAGAGTATATTTTAGATGAGTAGTAGTATTTTGGCATGGGTTATGTTAGAAGATTTCTGCAATAACTCTCAATCTGATCAGTGGTATGTATTTATATATAAAAATGTTGTATTTGAGTACGTGACATGCTGAAGATGGATATTGATCCTTTTATGCTTCTTTTTTGGGAAAAAAGATTCTCTTTGTTTTAGATGGTTTTAATGGTATTGGAGTGATTCGATCGATAGTTCCTGGATACTGAATAGTGAACTGTTCTATACAATTCATCATTTCAGAAGAAGAATATATATGGGTGTCCTAGTACAGATTTTTAAAATTTATTTTCTAAAGATTCAAAGATTTTCAAGTTCTTGCCAGGACAAAAAGGGAAGGCCGTCTGTCTGGGGCTGATGAACACACGCAGTTGGAAGTGCTTCATTTAGCTAAAAAACTGAGAGCAGATTATATTGATTTGGAGCTTGAGGTACTGCTTAGATATTTATTTATAACATCAATGTATATATTGAGAATTAACTACACAATATGTGATTTTGGCCTATGAATCTAATCCTTTAAAATGTTGTAAATAATTCAGATTCTGTGCTCTCTACCAAAAATGACCCCAAAAAAAATGACTCGATCACCTTTAAACAACGTAAACAAAATGCAGTATCAGTATGACATCATTTTCACTAAAATTTATAGGTTACTGTCTGCTTAGACTATTGGCTGCACAATACTCAACAAACATAACCGAAGCCGTACAAAGTCATTAAAGCCATATTTCACACTGATGCAATACATCTTCCTCACTTGGGAAGTGTTTCTTGAGACACTCAATGACACATTCTAAGGCCATAATTATTCATGGGAAGTGCTTATATGAAAGAAATTGAGAACTAAAATATGTCACTGATGATGTTTTACCCTGCAGAATTGAATAAGCGGCTATTTACATGACTAGTGTACTATGATTTATTCAGGTAGCTGCTGACTTGATGGAGAAACATAAACTGAACCAGCGTAGAGGTAGCAAAGTAATTGTATCATGTTATGTGGAAAGTGCTACCCCTTCGAAAGAAGATCTCAGCCATCTTGTTGCACGCATGCAATCATTTGGAGCAGATATCATTAAACTTGTGACCAGTGCAACTGATATTACAGAAATAGCAAGAATTTTTCATTTGCTTTCGTGTTGTCAGGTATGCATCTTGCTGATGGAACTATAACGTTTTCACCCTTGTCATGAAAGACATCGTGTTAACCAGCAGTAACAAGGACAAAATCTAGATGTAGCCTGTGTTTTCTTCTAAGTTATGTGAATTGAAGGCATGAATTGATGGTAGTAAAGTGTCAAATGACAAGATATGAAGTTAAATTTAATCAGAGAGCAACATCGGTCCATCAGTTATTAGCTTGAATAGTATCTCTTGCCACTTCTTTAGGGGGGTGGGTCTAGTGGTGGAGTGTTTTACAGGGCTCAAGTCATGGTTGGATGTTGGTATGGGTGTGTTAGAAGGAAGAGATGTGACTGATCTCAAAGTTTCCTTCGATCAAAATGTTTCTGATCTACGACCAGTACTTATCAACTCAACTTAATTCAACAAAACATTTTTTTCCATCTACTTAGGGTCAGATACATAAATTGTGTTTTTCCTTTCTGCTTTATCTAAGGCCATAACCCCCATAGCCTCAGTCAAACCAAATGTTATCAAGTTTTCCCTTACTAACTCTATGCATGTAAATTCCAGTCTTCTCCTTCCCTTGGAGAGGGTGGGCCTTGGCGCAATGGTATGGTTGCTACACTGTGACCTAGAGGTCAAAGGTTCAAAATAGGAAACAGCCTTTTCACATGTGGAGAGAAGGCTACGTACATCCAACCTAGGGGTGGCAATTCGTGTTGGCGTGTCGTGTTCATGTCGACACGATTACGATACGGACACGATTAGGGTTAACACGAACACGACACGATTATTATACGTGTAACACGACACGAAAAGACACATTTAAGTCATTTTTGACACGAATACGACATATTTATTCTACACGTTTTGCTAAATGGGTCATTTTTGACACGAACACGACACATTTATCTGACACGTTTAGTTAATCGGGTTAATCGTGTCATAATCATGTTTACAGGGTCAAACACGAACATGACACGTTTAGTTAGCGGGTCAATCCGTGTCGACACGATTATGATACGAACACGATTAGTCCAAATCCAAACCCGCTTATCTCGTGTCGTGTTAGCGTGTAGTGTCAAATATTGCCACCCCTAATCCAACCCTCTCTAGACCCCGCAGCGACGGCCTCATGCACCAGGCTAGCCCTAACCCTTCTCCTGGCAGCACCCTCAATATAGACCATTTCCCTCATCCTAACTGGTGCACTTAGTGGGCTTCTTTGCATATGTCCAAACCATCTTGATAGATTTTCTCTCATTTTATCTCCAATGGGTGCCATTATGTGTTGTACTTATCGAAGAAAAAAAAAAAAAAACAATGATGTACTTGGTGGGCTTCTTTGCATATGTCCAAACCATCTTAATAGATTTTCTCTCATTTTATCTCCAATGGGTGCTATTATGTGTTGTATTTGTTGAAGAGAAAAAAAAAAAAAAAAAAAAAAAAAAAAAAACAATGGTGGTTTTGATCTGAAACGTGCCAATAACACTGTATATTTTGTTTATATTTTTCCTCTAATCAAAATTGGAGCTAATGTGATTATAGTGTATATATGTCGGGTATGATATTGAATTTTTTCTTATGTTATTGGTGTCTGTTTAATTTTGTGTAGCTTGATAAGTCACCTCTTGGTAACTTCCTGCAGGTACCGATAATTGCATACACTATTGGGGACAGAGGTCTTATAAGTCAGATAGTTGGCCCAAAATTTGGTGGTTTTTTAGTTTATGGATCTATTGAAGGAAATCCAGTGCCTGGACTACCTACTTTAGTCACCCTTAGACACATTTATGAGGTAAACAATATAAATGCAGATACTAAAGTTTTTGGGCTCATCTCAAAACCAGTAAGCCATAGCAAAGGCCCTATTTTGCATAATCCTACCTTCAGACATGTGGGCTACAATGGAGTCTATGTCCCTATGCTTGTTGATGATCTGAAGGAGTTCTTTAGAGTCTACTCGAGCCCTGACTTTGCTGGTTTCAGGTACGTCATCTGTGACTTTAATGCCATTCACAAATTAGAAAAACATTACAGTTGAATTATAAAAATGATCTGTTACTCACCTACTAAAAAAATCAAATTGGATCCCTTATATGAGAAATATGATTTCTCTTTCATTGACAATATCAGCTTTTGTTTAACTAGAAGGTTCAACTACTTTGGATGGTCTTATACTAGGATAAAACTACCATTCTGTGTGGTATGTGTCTGCGCGCGCGAACGTGTTAATAAAAATTAGTTACTCAAACTATAGTAAGGTATTATTATTCCTGCAGAAAAGAACATATTCAATAAATAGTTCCAAATGATCCTGCTATTGGCAGGTTTGGAGCACATTTTGACTTTTATTATATTTTTCAAAAGAATTGTGATGCTCCACGACTTTGTTTCATACTTTTAAGGAAATTATGTATGGAATATAGGCTGGCTGTAAAGCTTTGCCTTATCTTTTTACTCAATACTTTCATAACCTGTTCCCATCAGAACGAGGCTAGCATCATTAATTGAAACTGATACACTTACCGTCTCTCTCTTTCTCTTTTTTTATCACAACAAACAAGACCTAAAATATTTAGTGCCAATATTAAATTTATTGTCTAGATTAAGCTATAACTAAGTGGAACAAGATGTAATCTACTTGTACATTTTCTTCTTCATACTTTAGCTTATGTGAATCGCTCTACTCAGGCGTCATAGTTTTTATCCTTGGGGTTACATAGTTCATTTCGGACTATTCTTATATTTTCATTTTTTTTGGCTACTAATACAGCGTCTTCCTCTACTTATTACTATTTGATTTGTAGTGTTGGAATTCCATACAAGGAAGCTGTAATTGGGTTTTGCGACGAAGTTCATCCACTTGCTCAGGTAACCTTATATTGCATATTAGATTTCAGAAATTTTGTTAAACTTTTGCAATGTCGTGCATTTTCTGTTCAGGTCTTCATGATGTAATATTTTATTCCTAATACATTGATCAAAAAAATGGTAAGACCAGATCATATCTTGCATTGCTCAACAAGAAAAAGGATCTGTACCTGGTGGAATCTTGTCTTCCTTTCCTTATCCCACTCTAGTGGGAGCCTGTCCTGATCAATCACTGACCAATCAGGGGATTGCTGAGGGAAAATCAAGGCATGTGGCAGTGATTATATCTTCTTGCTGCAAAGATGAATATGTGAATTTTTAATGTATTCATGCTTCACTAAAGTGAAAGAGCCACCATTTGTTAACATTGATGCGATTTTAACATTGATGCGATACTTTGCTATTAATTAAGTCACAAATTTTTTAGGATTATTCCGGATTAGCTCCGAGCCTCTCTGAGATACATCTCAGTGCACGCTCATAGCAGTATTGTCTTTATTTATCCAAATTCCATTCCAGTGAGAATGATCATTGGGATATAATAGTTCAAATCTTAATATTGATCATCATGATGGCCTGCTATAGTATCTAGTCATACTTGCAATTTCGTGCTGTGTTGTTATGTCGAAAATTTGAATCAATTTTTTCATGCTCCATCAGTCCATAGGTGCTGTTAATACTATTATAAGGCGGCCTAATGATGGGAAGCTGGTTGGCTATAATACAGATTGTGAGGCTTCAATAACTGCTATTGAGGATGCTCTAAAAGGTATTGAGACTAACACTGATATTTCTCTAATCAAAATTACACTTTATATTGTTAAACTTAGTGTGTTTTAGAATTAGCAAGATTGTAGAGCACCACTAGAAGTCTAGAAATATCGTTACATCACCCATTGCCATATTTTTTATGGAAATAGAGAATGAGATGATGGTTTGGAGACTTGGCTGAGCCCGAGTCGCATTCTCACCGATATATTGGTGGGATTTGGAATCCCACGAGACTGAGTCCCTACGGAATCAGCCAAGTCTCGTCTGAGTCCCTAGGGAATTGGATGAATATCTTCCAAGTTTTTATAGTCAGCTAAGTTAGCAAATCAGATGGTGTGCAAGGTTGAGAAAATTTCATGACCCAGTTCCCGATACCATTATGTAATGCCTGTTACACCCTGCATCCGTTACACTGTGACAGCGGAGCTGAGAACATGCCTGCAACTTCCAGACTATTTCATTCTTGAAATGAGTTCTTACTTGACTCTGCAAAAGTTGACCGTTAGAACATAATTGAATTTTCTTGAAGTAACCCAAAATGCTGTTCTTGTGTACTAGATGCCTACAGATTTCATAGTTAATTCAATCTTCAGGGCTAACACAAAAATTTCTCTAATTAAAACTTCATTTGTTCTTTCACCTAAGCTTGTGTTGCACACCAAGATTTTTTTTTTTCCTAGTTGACACCAAAATTTTAGAACATCGAAGATTTCTTTAAATGACCCTTGGATATGTTTTTCGCCTGAATGACAAATATATATGTTCCAGTTTCATTCTTTAAAAATGAGTCTTAACTCGTTAGTTAACATTCTAGAAGTTGCCACCTCATGATTAAAGTTCTTAAAAATAACACCGAACATTGATCCGAATGTATTAGATGCCAAGCATTTAGCATAATCCATTCAATCCTTCAGAGCTTTTAATTGGACACAATTGGTAGTTTGATATTTCTCATTGTACTCTCAGAGAAGCATATTCTACTATGTTTTGCAAATTTTATCGAGTTCATAGATGTTTAATATATTCTAGAAATTAGATTATTAATATTTCTGCATTTGGAATTTCATTGAAGTTAGACGCACTAATGGGGAAGGATCACTTCAATCTCCGCTCGCTGGGAAATTGTTTGTGCTGGTAGGTGCTGGGGGTGCAGGAAGAGCACTGGCATTTGGTGCTAAAAGCAGGGGAGCAAGGGTTGTCATATTTGACATTGATTTTGGTATGGATCTAGAAGTTCTTTGCTTAGAATTATACAGAAATAATCTATTCTTATATTTAAACCTTTTAACTTCTCATTTTAGTGCTCAAGCTCCTTATGGTATGGGATTCTTTAATTCGTTAATTTTCCGATCACTGTGCACCACATCTTGGCTTTGAGGGGCCATTCGGTCTTGCCACCGAGAATGCTGCAGTATGTGATATTCAGTCATCTCACTGTTTTTCCCCAGCACACAACAACAACCACCAAGCTGTTTTTTAATTATTTGGGGTCGGCTACATGAATCTCATGTTTCCATTCCGCTCTATTTTAAGGCCATAACGTCAGTCAATCCACATGCTATCATGTCTTTCTTAACTAACTCTACCCACGTTAACTTTGGTCTTCCACTTCCCCTAGTATTACCCTCAATGTGGACTATGTCACTTTTCCTAACCGGCACACTTAACAGTCTTTTTTGCACATGTCCAAACCATCTTCACCTAATTTCTCTCATTTTATCTCCAATTGGTGCTACTCCAACCATCCCCGGAATGTGATCATTTTTAATTCTATCATTTCTAGTCTTATCGTGCATCCTTCTCAACTTTTGCATTTTTATCACACCCACTTTATGCAAATATTGTTTTTCTCCTACATGTTAGCATAAATTGCTTTTTACAATTTGACAATCTGTGCTGTCATTGGTAGTCTAATGGAACTGGAGACATTATTAGAGGATCCAAGCCATTCTCTCTAACCCTCAATGTTCTGTCTGAACAGATAGGGCGAAGGATCTTGCTCGTGCAGTGTCCGGTGAAGCTCAGCCTTATGAAGATTTAGTTAAGTTCCAGCCAGAGAAAGGTGCAATTCTTGCCAATGCAACACCTTTGGGAATGCATCCAAACACAGATCGAATTCCTGTGACTGAGGTCTTTCCCATATTTTCTTCTCAACCGGAAAACGTTTTCAGTTTGTTTATTATAGTTGAAACCTCTTGTTTTCCCCTTTATAGGTGAGCTTGGGGGATTACCAACTTGTCTTCGATTCTGTTTACACACCTAGAAAAACCAGGCTATTAAAAGAAGCTGAGGCTGCTGGAGCCATCACTGTGAGTGGAGTTGAAATGTTCCTCCGTCAGGCCATTGGCCAGTTCAATCTCTTCACTGGCAGCGAAGGTACCTTCATTTCTTCTCTCTTCTCTTTCATGTCTCTCTTACAGTGTGACCTTAGATATCTCGGCTTTATATAAAGACCCTATGTTAACTGAACTCGGGTATGTATGTTGGGTGCGGATATGTATCCATGCATCAGACATATCAAATCCCCAAATGAAGGACACAAGAACATGGTTGAACATTCATATTATCTAATATTTTTATTTAGTTTAATAGAGTAAAATAATTTCTTGATGTTACGTAGTATTTAATATAGGCATTTAAATCGTTTTGAAGCAATAATCTAATAAAATTGAATCATTAGATATGCCTTTTAGGATCAAGTCCAACCAAACGATTGTACAAGAATCTTTGAAAAAGACTTTCCTTCCGTAAAAATGAAAAGACATACTTTGGGATCTGAACACAGCTGCTCAATACATTGGTGAATAAATTTTACTCATTGATCACTTTAGACACTAACAGAGATGTCTATTTGGTGTTCTGAGAACATTATCATTAGGACTTGTTTGGCTTAATTCTCTAAAAACAGTAACTTTGAAAACATTGGGGAACATAGGCCGCCTTCTTAAACTCTATTTTCGGTGAACAGTTTTCATTCTCATTCAAACGAAGTTTTGGTTGTTTTCTGTTTTTCTTTTTCCTCTGAGAATAGAAAATTGTTATGGGAAAATTGAACCAAACAGACACTTAGATTTCCAAGTGGACTGTAATGATCTTATTCTGTTGGTTTTTTCCTGTTTTGCAGCACCTGATGATTTCATGCGGAACATCATTCTGAGGGAGTTCTGATGCATGAGATAATATTGTAAACATTAGTTCTTGTATAATTTGTTTATCAATCATTTCTTGATTGGAACAACAATGATAAAGCTAATAAATCAGGCTTGAGATGATTATGATGGCACTTTAGTCTTTACATCTCATTTTGGAGACGACTCTGTTCAAAATAACCACAAATGAGAAGAGAATAATATATCAATCTTGGTAAACATTAGCTCTTGTATGTTTTGTTTTTCAATGAGTTCCTGATTGGAACAACAATAATCAAACTGATAAAACTAGGGTTGAGAAGATTATGATGGCATTTTGGTCTTTATATCTCATTGTGTGAGACTACAATGGTGAAAATAACCAGAATTGGGAAGAGAATAATATCAATATTGACATGCTTTATTTGTTTGGAGAACAGTAGAAAGTATTACATACTATCATATATAACTAGTTGAATATTTTTGAGAATTGGGAATGAATCCCAAAAAAAAACCTGGATTATACATAACTGGTGTTAGACTTTGAACTAGGAACCTTTCTTTATAAGACTGCATGATTGAACTGGTTTTTATGTCAGAAACTCATTCCTCCACTTCTTCAGAATCCTGAGACCATGAAGATCATTCATACTATTAAGAAAAAAAAGAAAAAAAATATATATATTCCGCTGAAAAAAGAAAAAAGAAAAAAGAAGAAGAAGAAGAAGAAGAAGCCTCTATAGGGCAACCGAAAGGGGGTAGAAAGCACCGTCACTTCATCTAGGAGTGCTGTGGTGGTGTCAAATACGGGGACACGTGTTGGATACGGCTAAAAGTGTTCTGAAATATATATATATATATATATATATATATATATATATATATATCTTCTTGGATATGGCTAGATATGGCATCAACACAACAAAGACGCGTTTTGGACACTTTTAGGACACGATGGGGTGGTTTTGTAATTATTATTCTTCTTAGAAAAATGGGATCAATCCAATTTAAAATATATTTTCGGTTATGCAGAAAAATAATATAATTTTTTTTTAAAAAAAACTAACTTTAATCTCCAAATTACTGATTTCTTCATATTATTATTTATATATAATAAATATACTATAATATTATTTTTTGATGTATTCATGCCGTATCCATATCCTATGTTTTTGAGTTTTATCATACCGCTATCCTTGTCCGTGTCGTACCCGTGTCATGTTACTTTCATTGTTTTAGCATTTTTTTTAGTATAGTAGGCCCAATGACGAGAGGCCATCCAAGCCTAGTTAGATAAAGTGAGAAAGCCCGATTTGAGGCATAGTGGCCCAGACCAAACAGGCCCAAAAAAATGAGACAAGCCCAAAGCAAAATCATAGCGCATAGCGATTAGAATAATAACCACAAGAAATGATTTGACATTAATTCTTCTTCCTCGGCTCTAAAATATTTTTTTTTGGAGAATATTTTTCTTTTTCAGGTAAAATATTTTTTTATTTTTACTTTTTTTGATAGTTAGCAAAAGTTTACGTCAAGGTTGAGGTAGAGTCCATCGGACAGGATATGTAAAAAACTTGTCGAAAATTAATGAATAAGTTATTTTTGTTATATTTTAATATATATTTTTTTCATAAATATTTTACGACAACTAAACACCAAAAAAAAAATATATATATTTTACATCCAAACAAACAGAGCCTAAATGATAATTTCTCAAAGTCAATCATTACAATCTCGTTGTCATATTTGACATTTTGCGACATAGTAAGTTCGTTTATATGTTTGATGTTGATTTGTTGTTTATTATTATTATAAACGCTGAACAATGATGTTATTATATATGTTACTATGTTTGACCCACTAAGAAAAATTTAATGTTTTGTAGGTAAATGGTCTCTCGCAATAATAATAATAATAAAACCTCCTTAAAGTTCTCAGATTCAAGAAAATACTATGTCAAAGTCACTGTTTGACTTTGTATGTTTGGTAAAATGGATTTCATGCAAATATTATGTAATGTTGAAAAAATTATTAGATGATTTTAATTCATTGATATTTGATGGACGAATTAATATTATGTAATAAATATTATGTAATATCGGTGGTAAATTATAAAGTGTTCTTAAAGTTCGACACGATCATTGTTGAAAAAAAAAATATAATAATAATAAGAATAATAAGACCCCAATAAATTATCAAATGGTCCCTGATGATACTTGATGGAATAATTTAATATATACTAATGTTAAAATTTATTTATAATATATTAATACATACTTGTGGGGCCACTTTTTCAATCCAACAGTCTCAATTTTACCGGTCCATCAAATATTAATAGTCTACATTATCTAAAACTTTCTCATTGATGGACATGCACAAATTAAGAGAAACAAAATTTTTAATAATTTTATTAATTATTTATTCAAAAAATTATTTTAAGATTTATGGGATTTTGTCCTTCACATTTTCCTTTAATTTTAATTTTAATTTTTATTATTTATTTATTTTTTTAAAATCAAAGTAACTCTTCCTCTTTCACACATATGATATGTGTTGTACTACACTGTGACTATGTGAGACAAGTTACCACAAATTTATAATTGTGTGAATAGTATAGGTACATTTTTAGTTTTACATGTGAAGTCAGAAAAAATTAACATACATGTCTGTTTCCGTTACACCGAATGCCATTTTCCCATCAAAAATTGCAAAATGCCAAGGTGCTAAAAGAACAAGTACAAAATTGCATAACAAAATGTGCATGCACGTGGTCAATTAATGAGACCGGGGGTTAAACCCGGAAATGCTGGTTCGGCACTTTTGTCTCATAGCTATCCATAAAACTCCACCTAAAATTCACCAAAGCCACACCCCCTAACAAACTTGGGTCAGACAAAACATTTGAAATTAAGGTTAAATTCTATCGAACTCCCAATTCCCAACCTACCTTTCACTACCAAGAAAATTTGTTGGCGAACCCTCCTCTGAGAAATAAATACTCTCACGAACTCTAATGCCTATATACTATATTATTACTCTCTTTTAGCAGACATTACTGTCTAGTCTCTAAGCACAACCAAACACAACTTTAACCACTTTAACAAGCCACACAACCAGATCAAACTCATTAGCAATGGCCTCCGGAGGCTTTTCGGTACATTCCCATCTCATTTCTATGCAAATTTGTTCATATTCAACTTTACGTTGTGCATGAAAAATAGACTTGATAAGCTTTTCGATCATATATTATTTGTGTTGTTTTGAGTTCGTTTGTCTGCGGTTAAAATCTTGACTTTTGTTGTGTTTAATTTTAATGCAATTTTGTTTGTATCCAACTTTACATTATGCATGAAAAGTAGACTCGATAAGCTTTCCAACGGTATATTTTTTGCCTAGTTTTGACTTGAGTTCGTTGTATTAAAATTTTCGATTTTGAAAGCAAAGTCCTCTGTTAAAATCTTGATTTTTGTTGTGTTTATTTTCTATGAAATTTCATTCATATTCAACATTACATTATAAAACAAAAAAATAGACTAATAAGCTTTCAAACCATATATTATTTGCATAGTTTTGTGTTCATTTTATGAAAATTTTAAATTCTCAAAGCAGAGTCCTATGTTAAAATCTTGATTTTTGTTGTGTTTAATTTCTGGGCAATTTTGTTCTTATTCAACTTGACATTATGAAGATTTTTTATTCTGAAAACAGAGTCCTCTGTTTTAAGTCTTGATTTTACGTTGTGTTTGTGTGGTTTTAGTTTGCTACTTCGGATGCTCAAACGAGTAGTAGTGGGGTTCGGAGCAACCCCACCTTGCTATGCACTCCATTGATGGGCACCACAGTTGATCAGATGCTGATAGAGATGCGAAAGGCGAAGGAGATCGGAGCCGACCTTGTGGAGATCAGACTGGACTGTCTCAGGCAGTTCAGTCCCCAACAAGATCTTGAAATCCTCATCAAGAGGTCTCCTCTGCCCACTGTTGTCACTTACAGGTAAAATCACTAAACTTGAAGTTGGTACTAGCTAGATAGTCATGCCTTTGAAAGTTCGGCAGTTCCTGTTTGACCTCCTTTTTTTTTGTTGGTTATAAATACTGTTTGTGTTTTGTTTTAATTATGTTACATTGACTCCTCAAAAAGTAGTTGTACTCGTGTCCGAGACACATTGGGACATAGGTATGGATAGACGTCCGACACTTGTGATTAGACAAGCACCTAATGTGTCAAGTTTATTATATTATTGCTTCAAAAAGACTGAAATGCCTAAATTAGACAGTGTCATTGAGTCTGAAAAATTATTCGATAGTATGAATATTTAGCAGTGTCACTGTGTGATGCCCCGATACATACCGGACCCGAGTCCAAGTAAGATAGCTTTACACAATCGAACCCAAGTCTGGAAAATAAAGAGGGTTGCGTTAGGTAGCTTGGCAACCTGCATAAAACCTCTGTTTAGGACAAGTAGACACACAAATCCTAACATAGTTTATGAATGTTTTGCATCTTTTCTAATGGAATTAAAATATACTTCTCTTCATGTACCTTTAGGCCAATTTGGGAAGGTGGTCAGTATGAAGGTGATGAAAACAAGCGACAGGGTGCACTTAAGATAGCCATGGAATTGGGAGCCGATTACATTGATATTGAGCTTCAGGTATTGCTTTCTCTTTTGCAGGCATTTAGATTATCCCCATCTTAAATGTCACTGAGTCTGTGTATTGCACACAACTCATTTGATACACTTTTGCTGTATTTTTCTACTGTGAAGCTTATAACATTAGAGAATCGAACAATCAACTATGAGACCATCATTTTGTTTCTATACTCGAATATGGTTGCCCTGTTCATTATAAGGTTAGGTGAAAATTAGTTTTAAAAAAAGGTTATGTTGCCTTGGAATTGGAATTCGAGAAAATTTAGTTCAATTCATAAGTATACTCCATCTGTTTCTCTACCTCACATATAGGACTTTTTGTAAGCAATTATAGTCCAAATAGAATTCATGGCTCCAATGCATAAATTAGATAGATAAGACATACCCGATATAGAAACTATATTGAAGAGAACACTAGAGCGGAAACGATCTTCAACCCTCTCCTATGTCTGCAATACTGGATGATGTACTCCAGACTTCTACGCATATATATAGATAAGGCTTGGGACGGTTCCAGTAGATGTTAAGAGGTGTGTTGGTTCCATCAACCAACACAACTCTTCATATGTGACTCTTCAACAAAACAACACAACTCTTAAATATATAGGTGACTATTCATTCAAATATATGGATAACTAAATATTAATTAATTATTGTTAGACTATTAATATTTTGCTTACATTCTCCCACTTAGTCTAACGATAATTAATTCTAATCAAGTCAAGATCAAAATGATCATTGAGTGTACTCCAAAAGTTAATTCATATATATAAGAAACACATCTTTCATCAATTTGGAGTACCTTCGAGTCTACTAATATGGGATCAAATGTGTCATTATATCATCAATGATATAAGACACCAATGGTCACTGATACTATCAAACTCAACTCCAACGTCACATATATTTTGCATGTGCATCTATTCAATTCAATATTCATGCCATGCATCGGCCCTATCGTATCTCAATAAGAACACAACGTGTCTCAAAACTGGACACTTAAGTCACAAATTTTCCATACACGTGCACTAATATGAAAAATCTAGTAAATAAGGATAATAACTGTAATCACAAAATAAAATTGTCTTTACCTGAGCCAAATACAACCTCCCACTAACTAAGTAAATTAATGTTATCAAAGAGAAATTTGCATGCTTATTATACAACATTAGCGGCAAAACTTTAGTTATGGGATCAACAATATTTTATTGGGTATCAATGTGCTCAATCAGACACTAGCTGGTTCTGTATCCTCTATTTCACAATAAGATATTAACGATCATATTTTAGACCAACTTGACTCTTGTTGTTTCTTTAATACAAGACTGTAGTGGTATTGACTTGAAGTCCAAAACTGATAGTTTATAAAGCATGAAATGTGACTTTATAACATGCAAATAAACTCCGCTTCTATCACTTATCATAATAATAAAACAATACTTGAAGTGGATTTGTATACAATCCTGACAACTAGCAAAGTCAGTTTTCACCACTCCTAACAAGATATGGTTCTTAATTATTTGCAGATACCTTATAAATTTCTTTGCCGCGTACTATAGATCCAAACCAGGATCACTGTGATATCTGCTTAACTAGCAAATGCTATATTATAGTTAACCATATGCAAAACCTGAGCATACATTAGATTTCTAAAGGCGTAAAAAATGTCTTTTACCTAATTCTGCTCTAAATATTTTCTTGGTCCTTAAACTACCAAATTTCTCAACTTTTTCAATAGGTACAATTCTACCTCTATAGTGTTATATGTCAAATACTTTCAGAACCCTATCAAAGTAGGTTCTTTAATTGTGACATTTCAAAATTTCACGAGATTTAGTTAGGTGAAACTTAATGCCAATAAAAAGGCTTCACCAACATCTTCATCTCAAATGTTTGAAAAGTTAAATTGTTTAATATCATGTACAATAATGTCACTGTCATCCACATTTAACACTAAAGATGAATTTTACTCCCACTGACTTTGAGAATAACTAAGGCCACGCATTTACAGTTTAATTAATGGGAAGGTCAACTAAACTTTCCAGAGTTAATTAAATAATATCTCAAAACAATGAACTCTGAATGGGATCAACATAACATATAATAATTTTTCCTTTGGCCCAAAATTATCATATATTAGTCTCTCACTGGTGAAATAACTTTCACCTTTGAAGCTAATTAATCAAAGAAAACACAATAACAACGTACTTATACTCCTTTGGGCGTAGTGAGTCATCAGTTGTGTCTTCTACACTAATTACCTCAATCCGCTTAGTTGGACAAACTCAATGACCCACCTCTGGGCTTGATTATTGCTCATCTTTACTAACGCCAACACAATCCTTTAACTTTAACAAAATAATAATTTTGTCACTAGCTACAGATATCATTAAAATTTTCATGAGTGTGCCACTTTGGTGACTAAACACTCGATCAAACTTAATGACACTTGTGCTTAGGATTGCAAAATGATTCAATTTTTCCAAATGAATCAAAATAGCATATACATATTATGCAACAATTTATGACATGAGACATATGCATAATTATGTATATAATTTCAATAACATGTATAATTTCATAAACTTATATGCAATAAAACTTTAAATTAATCATTAACTATGCCATGTATATCATCAAATATATAAAACATTCAACCAGTGATGATAATTTAAGAAAAATGACATATTTATGAAAATTAATTTTTAAGGGACAAAATAAGATCCAAAATTTTTAAAATTTATACATATTATAAATATTAAATTAGCGACCCTTATTGATAGGGCAAGTAAGGGTGCATGCAACAAATGACTCTAGGTGGAGAGACATGACTATTGGTTTAAATTCAAAAGATATGCCTATTGGTTTAATCCCAAAAGACATGACTATTGATTGCAACTCAAAAGACATGTAATGGTACGTTGAAACAAATAACCCTTCATAATCGGCATATTAACTGCATGTTGTTGTTATCATGCACACTCCAATTGAGTTTACAGCAAAACACACAAGAATACCACGCATAACAGACCACAAAGGCTACGTACCGGTGCATGCAACATGCATGACTTTATAGGTACAGAGACATGTCTGTTGTTTCAAATTCAAAAAGATAGGTTTGTTGGTTCAAACCAAAAAGACATGTCTATTAGTTGAAACTCAAAAGATATGTCTGTTGGTTCAAACCAAAAAGACATGTCTGTTAGTTCTGTTATTGAAACTCAAAAAGACATGTCTCTTAATTTGAACACTAAAAGTTATGACTTTTGAGAACATTTGTAACCCAAACAAAAATATGCCATGGTACTGTTTCACTTACAACCGTCCCTCATAACCGATTAAGTACGTGAATGTTAAAGATTTGTGTTGATATGTCAAACGAGATATGTATGGACACCAAAGAAGAAATTACATTCACGTCACAATCACGTTACTGTCTAACATTACATGCATGAACACCCAAACCAAAACATGGCAAGGTACGTTGTTATATGAGTGGTACTGTTTCACTTACAACTGTCCTAAACAGTCGTGACCATTTGATATTATTAACAGTACGTAACACTGGTACATGAATGTTAGAAATTCATGTTGCCGCCTAACGTATATGACACCCAAAGAAGAGAGTTCTTTCAAGGATGTGTTCATGTCTCTATAAATGTCGCAGTTCTTGTCCAACACGTGACACTCTTATAGAGGCATAAAGACCCCAAAATTACATTCACCGTTAAATCAATTATGATAACAATTGTATAAAAACTATTCATGTATTTCATATTCAGTACGTGCATATGCATTATCTTATTATACAAATGTTTGTCCCAAAATAATAACGTACATATACTAATATATATATATATATATATATATATATATATATATATATATATCAATATCAATATCAATATCTTTGCATGCACATAAATTTTGAAGATGCATACATGTTTGTAATACAATATAATTGTACTAAAATATTTGATACTTTCACGCATACATAGTGTGTATATATGCGTGTACATGAAAAATAGAGTATATATATATATACATATATATATGTCCTTTTCCATCTCAAACATGTATTGCATATAAATTTCATACTATACTATTAATAATATATTGTTAACAAATAAATCAAATTTATGCATCAGAGTCCATGTTGGCTCTGATACCACACGTAAGCAATTATAGTCCAAATAGAATTCATGGCTCCAATGCATAAATTAGATAGATAAGACATACCCGATATAGAAACTATATTGAAGAGAACACTAGAGCGGAAACGATCTTCAACCCTCTCCTATGTCTGCAATACTGGATGATGGACTCCAAACTTCTACGCATATATATAGATGAGGGTTGGGACCGTTCCAGTAGATGTTAAGAGGTGTGTTGGTTCCATCAACCAACACAACTCTTCATATGTGACTCTTCAACAAAACAACACAACTCTTAAATATATAGGTGACTATTCATTCAAATATATGGATAACTAAATATTAATTAATTATTGTTAGACTATTAATATTTTGCTTACACTTTTTACATAATGAAAGCCTGCATGCTTTCACTAATAAAAACCAGCATTTCCCTCTCCTTGAGTTACCTACTTTTAGTCATATCTTCAATATACTTCAATATTGCTGGTTTCCCATTTCCTCTATGGAATTCATCTTTTAGTCTATTTCAGTTACTGAGAAAGCTCGGGATTGGCTACCGGCACCTTAAGAATGCCTGCTCAAAGGATGACTTGGGGTAAAGCTAGATAGGAAGTTAGCACTGTAACTGTTTGTTTGTTTGCCTTGCATTCAAGACCATTGAAATATTGCCTCTAAATATACAGCTTCTTCCATATGCCAAACATAGCGCATAGTAAACAAAAGGTTTTGTTGGTTTCTTGGAATCACCAGCAAGGCCTAAAACCCCTAATTCAATTTTGACTGCAATGCAATTACTATCTACATTGTGAAGTTTCTCATTGATGAGATAGATATCTATCAATTTGAGAGTTTAAAAAAGTTAAAGGATGCAATAAAAATTGATTCGATGAGTAAATTCAGATATATTCTATATTAATTGATCTCTATTATGATTTTGCAAGTAGCTATGACTTATGTTGCCTTCATGTTATATTACACCACAAATTACTTAGAATTTGAACATTTACTCATTGTGCAGGTGGCTAATGAGTTTAACAATTCCATTTACGAAAAGAAGCCTGACAAGTTCAAGGTCATTGTTTCTTCACACAACTTTCACAACACTCCATCTGCTGAGGCTATTGGCAATCTAGTGGCAAGAATTCAAGCTACTGGAGCCGACATTGTCAAGATCGCAACAACTGCCTTAGATATCACAGATGTGGCTCGCGTTTTCCAGATAACTGTGCATTCCCAAGTAAGTAAAATAGATTAACAATTTTCCATTATGAATTATGTCAATGCTGCTGCCTGCATATATGATAAATACATGCATAATCTATGATTCCAGTGTTTTATGAGCTTCTTCCTGCAAATGGACTTCATGGTTTGTAACAACTATACTTAAAATGTAGGTTCCAACAATAGGAATTGTTATGGGTGAGAGGGGTTTGATTTCACGGCTACTTAGCCCCAAATTTGGTGGATATCTCACTTATGGTGCACTTGAGGCCGGTGCTATATCAGCTCCTGGGCAACCAACAGTAAAAGATTTGTTGGATTTATACAACTTCAGACTGATAAAGCCAGATACCAAAGTCTATGGCATCATTGGAAAGCCTGTTGGTCACAGCAAAAGCCCTCTCCTATTCAATGAAGCATTCAAGAAAGTCGGTCTAAACTCAGTTTACGTGCACTTGTTGGTGGATGATGTTGCAAAGTTCTTCAATATCTATTCATCCACTGATTTTGCTGGATTCAGGTAATATGTTAATAGAATCTGACTTATGATATTTAGTTTCGGCCATTTTTAATTTTTGTTGTCAGTCTGCTAGAGCAATGAAATAACGTGGCCTTATTTGGAACACAGTTGTACAATTCCCCACAAAGAGGCTGCACTTAAATGCATGAATGAGATTGACCCTATTGCCAAGGTATTTGATGCTTCCTCACTCTGCAACATTCTTAGACAAAATGTTTAAAAAAAAAATTAATTTTACCATCTCAAGAACTCTTTTTTTCCAAAGAGTTGTTTGTTTTAATACAATGCAACGTTAATTTATATCTTTGATCAAATTCTTGCAGAAAATTGGAGCTATTAACAACATTGTTAGGAGACCAGATGGATCGCTAACTGCTTTCAACACTGATTATATTGGTGCCATTTCTGCCATTGAGGATGGTCTACGAGGTATGTAACATTTTTTTCAAGCCATGTAAATTCTGCGTAGACAATTCATTCTAAAAAAAATTGACACTACATTTTTTCCTTTTGCAGGCTCAAATGGCACAATCCCGGCAGGTGGTTCACCCTTAGCTGGTAAATTGTTTGTCGTCCTAGGAGCTGGTGGAGCCGGCAAGTCACTTGCCTATGGTGCAAAACAAAAGGGAGCAAGAGTAGTAGTTGCCAACCGAACATTTGGTAAGTACATAGCAGAGTATATGATATTGTACATTATGGCAGGATGAGTAAACTATTTCAATTATAGACTAACTCGAAACTTCTAGTCAATTAAAATGTAATGTATGTTCATCTTTGAGTCGGATGACAATTTTACCTTTCTCCTTCCTGCAGAACGCGCTAAGGAACTGGCTGACAAAGTTGACGGAAAAGCCATGACGCTTGCTGAAGTTCAGGATTTCCACCCTGAAGAAGGGATGGTCCTTGCAAATACTACATCTGTAGGAATGAAGCCCGACATTGATTTAACCCCCATATCTAAGGTTTGCCTTCCCCTCTATTCCTTTCTTGCATGCTTTTAAAAGACCATTTTCATTCACATTTGCTACAAAAAAAAATCTATAAATGGTTTGTAAAATTCAATTTCAATCAAATTTATCAAGCCATACTTGTAATCATTGTATATGTACTAATCAGCAGTCGGAAAATTTTGGGAAAACAGATCAACCCTTTTGTGAAAAAATAAAAAAAGAAGATAATTCCATAATACAAGAAATATAGCATTTTTTTAAAAAAAATTGACACAAAATTGTGAAATATCAATTCACACATGATTAGATTATTCTGATTTTGTTGTAGTTAAGGTGCTTCTTTTTCTTTGTAACTTTTCAGGAAGCTCTTAAGCATTATGCTTTAGTTTTTGATGCCATTTACACACCAAAAGACACCAGACTCTTGCGGGAAGCAAAAGAATGTGGAGCCATAATTGTTTATGGGACAGAGATGTTGATCCGACAGGGCTTTGAACAATACAAGAACTTCACTGGTTTGCCAGGTAACACGATACGAACTCACCATACTATTACCTTCTAATTCTTTTTCCTATTTACTCAGCTCTCACTCTTTGTTTTCCGGATTTTTGTTTCGTTTTCAATTTCAGCTCCAGAACAACTCTTTAGGGATCTCATGTCAAGACATGCATAAGAGAGTGTGTGTTTTTCTCCATCACAGCCAAGTCGCTTTGATTACTGAATTTTGTGGCTAGTTCTTGAGTAGTTGAATTATTTTGCTGTATGAATAAAATTTTCTTTTCATGTTAATGGAAGGACATAAACAGTGTGTCTTAAAGATTTTCAATCCTGAGCTTGAGCAGTATTGGCTGAAGAAGGAAGAGCTAGTACATTAAACTATGTTTCTAGAGAAATGGAATGGCAAGAATAGATTCATATAGTTAATCCCAACTGGTGTTATGGCTTTCTCTACTTGACCACTCTCTTCTCATTTCAAATTGATTTCAAGATTACAAGAAAAATTGTAAATGACTCTTCGTTGTGTAAATATTGTCTGCTTTGCACGTTATCTGTGCTCACGGTTTTCAAAATACATCTACATAATTAGTGACAAGTACTTTGCCCCATTGTGTTAAAATACCCTTGATTAAGTAGATCAAAGATGTTTATTGATCAAGATCATTGTTAAAGAACATTAATCAACACATCAATGAATCATCAAACCTCGTCAGCATGTCCTTTCAAATCTATGCAACCTTGGTTGTTTTTATCCCCGAGTAAAAAAATAATAATAAAAATAAAAAACTCAGAATGAGCTATGCAATACTTACCAATTCTAAATCCCTATATTGACGGCTTCAATTCCATGCAGAGTGAGAAGAAATATGTGAAAATGAAAATAAAATTGAACCTTAAAAAGGAAGAGAATGAAAAGAAAAAAGTAAAAAAAAAAAAAAAAAAAAGGGAAGGAGGAGATAATGACAGTTATTGGCAGTTAGTGATGGCTATGGTCAAAACAGTGCCTAATCGACATTGATGGTTGGTGGCATATACTATATAGGATTATGCTAAAAAGTATATTGGGTGTAAATCAAGATCATTTTAAGGAATCTGAAATTTTGAATCATGCAAGATAATGATATAATTTTCACGAATCGTTTTTCGGTATGGGGGAAACTGTAATGACAATCTATGTTCCCATTGGTTTTCTATGACAGTGATTTCAGGTTAAACACTCCATGACTGATATTAGATAGCCTTTAAATTCATTAGGAATAATATTTATGTCCACTAAAATGGTGTAGGACTCTTTGACAGTGAAATGCTTCTTCATTCTTGCTTCAGAGAAGTGAACCACACTGAGTCACCGACTAGCAAGAATCAATATATCAAAATTGGATTTCATCAAATCAACAGTCGTCTGATTTTCATACAAGACTTTGCTTTCATGAAACCTCTGCCCATCTTTCTCGGGATTCAATTTTTTTTTTTTTCAGAAAGCGAGCCTGTCATCCAGATTAAAAGACTATTGAGTGTCCTGGATTGGTGCAGCTACAACAAGGTTTTGATGATTTGCTCTTTAATTTACAAGAAACCTCTTCTTCTTTTTTTCTTTTCTTTTGTTTTCCTTAACAAGAAACCCACTCAATGCTCGACTTTGCTCTTTCATTAAAATGACTCCTCAACATTCTATTTTAGAAGGTAAAAAAATACCACTGGATTACAGTCTTTTCCTAATTTACAAGACACTATCATATTCAACACTGAAATTTTCAATATATATATATATATATATATATATATATCAAAACAATTCTTAATTTATAACTAGTACTTAAAATTCAGTTCTTAAAATACAGAGTAGTTTTATTAAAAAGCACCTTTAAGCCTAAAAAGATAGTAAAATTTGATATATATTTTAGAAGGTAAAAAAATACCATTGAATTACAGTCTTTCCCTAATTTACAAGACACTATCATATTCAACACTGAAATTTTCAATATATATATATTGAAAATTTCAGTGTTGAATATGATAGTGTTAGTTGGGAAAGTGGAGGAGAATCGAACCTGGGATCATAGAGTAGGGGATTCTAAAGGCCTAATTTTTACCACTGGCAAAAAAAAATTGGTGTTTTTGGGGTCAAAATCTAAGTCATACAATCTTTATCAATGAATATCGCTTTCATGCTCTGAATGCGAGCTCTTGTTCTCACGCTCTATGTGCTCTAACTCAAATTCTTACTATTTATAATTTAATTATGTCGTTTTCACGCTCCCTCTCACCCTCGTAACTTTTGTCAAGACTAGTGATTGAATTGACGAAGATTGTTGATTTGAACTGAAAATTACAACAGAAAATGTGGTTGAGAGTTGGACAACTTGGTGACAAATTGTGGTTTGTGTATTATGGTAACAGCCGCCGTAGCCAACCGACAGAGATAATGGGAGGCTTTACCTTCCTCACAAGACATGGCCCACTTGGGGACTGTTTGGCGTTGAAATGTAAGTTTAACATCCTTTCTGATAGCTTCAGACTTTACCATATTGTCATTCACATGCTTCTAAAACCATCTCTCATCTTAAATGAGAGAAGCCCATCCATGTTTTGTGTTCAATTTATTTGTCTCTGTCATTGACTGTAAGATTGCATCAAATGAAAACAACTACTATAAAACTTGTTCCACCAATATTTAGTACACTACTCTTTATTTTTTTACTTATTCCACCAATAACTACGAGAAACATACAACATACTTTCTTTTGGAATGGACTTCTTTGACAGCTTTCGCGTTCTATTTACACCAATGTTGCGTGAGGAGCATGAATCAGTATTTTGAATTTAGGCTCGGTTTATTTCGATGTAAAATATTTTTTTTAAAAAAAAATTAGTACTTTAAACTTAGGCTTCATTTATTTTGATGTAAAATATTTTTCTTTTTCAGGTAAAATATTCTTTTATTTTTACTTTGACGGTGTTTGGCAAAGATCTACGTTAAGATTGAGATCGAGTTCATCAGGCCGGGCATGTAAAATAATCTGTCGAAAATTAATGGATAAATTATTTTTGATAAATTTTAATATTTTTTTTTTTGTAAATATTTTACGATAACTAAACACCAAAAAATAAAAAAATATTTTCTGTAAAATATCCAAACAAACGGAGTTAGATTAAAAACTCTTTACGTACGAATTTTAAAGTAAATTTCTTTCGATTCAAAATTCAAACAATTCCGTGCTCCCAAATATAAGCATGAATTTTATAGTGAAAATAGATTTTTTTTCATAAATATTTTCATTTCCCTTGTTAACAAATATACTTTAACTTAACTAAAATGATGTTATCAAAGTGGCTCCGGTCATGGGCAAGAAACACACACCCCACTCATACACCCACTTTGCCATTTCAAAGACTCGAATCTTCACAATTCACTTTAAAAGATAAAGGAGATACCATTAGGGCACAAGGACTTTGATAAAATGGCCACAGTTCAATGGTATAACTTTTCAGTTCTCATGGAGGAGGGCAGGAATTGGAATATTGGCGTGGGCAAAAGCAACCTATTTACAATTTTACACTGAATTTTGTAGTTGAATGTAGAATTTTTCATATTTCGTTCCCCTTTTTAACGAATGTACTTCAATTTAAATAAAATGACATTACTAAATTGAAGGAGTAACAGACCAGAAAATTAAATAACAGGAGCAACTTTAAAGAACAATAATATACAATGGGATATCATTAGAAATTAAGCGGGAGCAATTTTAAGATTTTTATCAAAAAAAATACTAATAATTTTTAAAAAATTCATAAAATTTATAGATAATTTTGTAAATAAAAAATTTTCTGTGCCCCTAGTGAGCCTGGGTCTGTTTGGTTAGCCGGAATTTGATGGTGGAGAGTGAAAGGAAAAGAAAGTGAAGTAAAAGAAAAGAAAATTTAGTTTCTATTATGCATTTGGTTAGCATGAATTTTTTTAAAGAAAATTGTGAGAAAATATTGTTTCATGAGTTTGGATGGCAGGAAAGTGAAAAGAAAATAATTTTATATAACAAAACTACCCTTACTAATTTAATATAAATAATATACATAGCATAAAAAGGTACATAAGATTGGGTTATATATATATGTCCAAATTCAAATTTGGTAATTGAATAGTTTTTTATTTTTTTTTAATTTTAATTTTTTATTTTAAGGTTGCAATATATATTAGGACTCTACTACTACATTATATTAGTTCACTTCTTTTGTGAGTGGGAAAGAGTCCTAATTTTAAGAATCATAATCTAATAACAGAATTCTAATATATCTATGAAGAAAGAGACGAATGAATAAACAATTAATAAGGGCATAATAGGGAATCAAAATATAATTATACAACTTTCACGGGAAATTAGAATTTTTCGGTATTTTTTGGAGGAAACATTTTCAGGAAAATTAACTATTTGCGAGAATATTACTTTCCTGAAAATTTTCCTTTTCAGGCTAACCAAACAGTTAAAATTTTTTAAAATTTTCTGTTTCTTTTCCTTTCTTACTATTTCACGCTAACCAAACTAAGTGGATCCATGCAGGAATTGAAGCCTCAACTTTTGCGTAAGTGAATAATTTACCTCACCAAAAAGAAAGAGGCAAAGTTGTCCCAACTTTATAAATATAATCTAACATTAATGAGCTTAAAAAGACCTTTTGTTCCAAAAAAAAAAATAAATAAATAAAGAAGAAGATGGAGTGCTAGATAGTTCTATTATTCAAATTGTCATAGTAGAACTCAAGTTACGACATTTACCTCAATGTTAATTTAGAAAAGCGAAGTGATATATTCGCACTCTTTTTATTTATTTTTATTTTTTTGCAAAAGTAGTTTCTTTCTATTGTTCATTTTATTAACTTAAATGTCAAAAATACCCTGATTTTATTTTATTTTATTTTTTTCACGCAAAAAATACCGTGATACTTACTCTCTTATTTATGAGTTATGGACCCTGATGCCATTTCACTTTCAAAATGTAAATCATGTGTCTAATCAATAAATTTGTCATCTATTTCCATTTGTTATTTTGAAACAAACAAATTAAATCACAATAATAAAGAACAATAACTAATCAAGCAAGAAAGTTTCATTTTAGTTAAAAAAAAATGTAGACACTTTCCGAAAATATGAATCATTATAAAGTGTTTATTTATTTATTTATTTTTGCCTCCATGATGTGTTTTGACACCTACATTTCTTATAGTTCTTTTATTGAAAAACTCATAACATATTTTCTTGCTTATTATGAAAACGTTATTTACTTGAAAATTCTAAAGATAAAAAATAAAAAAACAAACAACCTCTCCATTTCCTGGTCAGACCATCTTTTTCATAAAAGAAGCCGGATTTTTTTTATTTATTTAAAAAAAAAAAAAAAAAAAAAAAGCTCCGAAAAGATATCATAAACAAAGAGATAGAAGGTAAAATGTTAATATCAAAAATCAAGTCACCTATAACATACAGAAATGATCTAATTATATGATATACTGTATATACAGTATAGAGTCTATAGACACAGATATATATATATATATATATATACACACACACACACACACACTCCCACACACACACATACTTCCGTATATTAGGCTATTAGCTAATAGCTACCTTAGTTGCCGTAGTAAAAGAAACGACTGACTCTCGCGTACCTCCCGCCCATCTCACCTAACTAATACCTCCCGCCGATGAATTGCCGATTCAACAAAATTTCAACGGTTCTAACATGTGAGAATGCCCTCCCTTTCATTCTCTTAAATTATTATTATAATTTTGAATCATCATTTGGGAAAATCTTATGTAATACTAGACACAAGTGGGTTAACAAAAAAATGTTCCCATATTGACTGCATATATGTCTAAATTTACAAAATTATATAGGCTATTCATTGGTCAATATGTTCATTTTCTCTGCACTCTATAGTTGGGATGGCAATTTGCCCCGCCCCGCACCGATTTTGACAATTTTGGGTGACCGTTTTGTTTATTTGGGTAAGGATGGTTTGATGTAATAAAAACTCGCAAGAGTTTGGTGCGAGGGCGGGGGAGGTCAGCCTGCTCCGCCCCGCCCCGTTTAGATAGACAAATTACTTAAGTACTAAAAAATGAATTTGATTAAAAAAAATTTTGCAATGGTAAAGAATTGAAGATGAAAAAAAAAAAAAAAAAAAAAAAAAAAATGAGCAAATCTATTTCAACAATAATTAAATTATGATCTTAAACGGGGTGGAGCGGGTATCTGCGAGATAACGGTTACGGGGATGGGGTGGAAAGTACGTACCCCCATTTTTACGGCTTCTGGGCGAAGGTGAAGATAGAGTTTTTAAACGGTTGTGAGGGCAGGGGAGGGTACACCCGCCCAAACCCGCCCCCATTGCCATCCTTACTATATAAATATATATTCTTTCATAACTATTTATTTAAAAAATTTGCTTATATGTACAATCTAAAATTTATATTTTCACTTACAATTAATGTTTTTTTTTTTTAAGTATTAATATATTTGAATTATAAGAGTTATTATTTCATTAAATAATAATACAGAGTTCAAGGAAACATCATATTTAATGATGTAATCTCCATTTTCATAAAATAATCTGGTGCATCTGACTTTTAAACTACTTATCAGTTATTTTATTTTGATTTTCCTCTAAACATAGTTTAGGCATGTTTGGATTGTTAGTTTATATTGTATTATTATTATTATTATTATTATTATTATGAGTAGAAAATTAGTAATTCATTATTTTATAGTTCTAATCCACCATATTTCAAACAACACACTAGAGTGAATCACTTATCGATAAGATTACATGTCATAGCAGCAATCAAACGTTAGTATCAAATACGTAATTTCATGATAAAACCCGAATTGTAAAAGGGATGAAATTTTGGGAAAATGTTATATGAATATTCAAAATTTTATAGCATTCCCACTTTGTTTATTTATAAATAATCAATTCCAAAGTTTTAAGTAAAATTCATAGTTCCTAACTTAAATTATATAAAATTGGATTAGAGAAAAAAAAATATTCGGTTGCAAATTCAAGGAGGTTATTATTAGAACTAAAATATTCTCAAATTACTTTATACAATTACTAACGTAATGTTATGTTGTCTTAGAATTGGTGCCTTAAGATCTGATTCCATTTTTAAGACTCAAATTTCATGTCTTAGAATTGGCGCCTTGGATTCTAATATTAAGACACAAATTTCATACAACCGAACGTAGTATAAATATAATTAAAATTTTTGGATAATAATATTACTCATTAAAAATCCAATCTTAATTCAAGAAAAGTTCAGTAATTAGCATCTGTCCCACATATATATATATATATATATATATATATATATATATTTTAAAAAACTAGGACTGTAATATAAAAAATTTGGTGTGTATTATTTATTATTATTATTATTAATAAATTTATCTATAATTTATATAGTTTGTCTTCAAAATAAAAAGGATTGTTTCAAACCATGAATAAATTTGACAATTTTACTGAAAATGACAGTGGTTTACTTAAAAGGAAAATAAATTGGGAAGAAGTTCTTAAACCACGCAATCAATTCAAAAAATCTACCTAACTAATAATGCAATCCACTTTAAATTTAAAATGATATTGTCCTTAATTCAGTTTATGATAACCAAATACAAGGGGTATTTAAGTAATTTAATTTAAGAAAAAAATAAAAATAAATAAATGCAGATATATCATTTTCACGGTTGTCACCAAAAAATTAAAAAAAAAAATTAAAATTAAAATTAAAAAATAAATAAATAAATACTACGAAAAGCCTACATTACTAGCTAACCGTCCAGCCTTTGAACGGACCAACTCAGCATATAGCTCTACCTACTCTCTCTCTCTCTCTCTCTATACTTTCTCTCTCTATATATGTATGTATGTATGTATATATATATATATAACTATATATACACCTAACCCACCCCCAACAAACAAGTCTCCCCACCAAAATCAGTTTTCAAAAACTTCCCCGAACTTCTCTCACCTGAAAACTTATCAAAACTCTCCAAAAACCTGCAAAAAAAAAAAAAAAAAATGACTCTCAGTGGAATTCCGGTACAATCACATCTCTACATTTCCATGAAAACTCTGTTCTATATGTCTATATGCATGTTGTTTGATTTATTTATGTGGTGAATTACAGTTGGCTACATCGGATCTCCAAGTCGGCGACGGAGGCCGGAAGAATTCGACAATGATTTGCGCTCCGTTGATGGCGGACTCCGTCGATCAGATGCTCATACAGATGCGAAAGGCCAAAGAGCTCGGTGCGGATCTCGTTGAGGTTCGAATTGACAGTTTGAAGAACTTCAGTTCTCAACGAGATCTCGAAATTCTCGTAAAACAGTGTCCTTTGCCCACTCTAGTCACGTACAGGTGATATAGCAATTCAATGAAATGTCTCTTTTTTTTAGTAAATTGTTGCCTTTTCTGGAGTTATTTAGAAGTTCATGTTTGATTGGTATTGGTAGACGAGAAAATGGGGAAGAGCTGCGGAAAAAAAGTTATGTTTGGCTCAAATATTTGATTCAGAAAACAGTTTTTTTTTTTAGAATTATAAAAGATTGTCATTTTTTACTTAACTCATTTTTCATAAAATAGTTCTTAGAAAACTATTATATATATATATATATATATATATATATATATATATATATATATATATATATATTCAGTGAACCAAGTAGGCTCAAAATATTGAATTGGTTTTTATGTATTTTGAATGTTTTCAAGAGTCTATGGTATCTGTGTCTAATGCAATTTCTTGGCTTTGTTAAGGTGAATTTCTCAGTTTATATAATTTGAGAGCAACATAATATCATGGTATGTGTCTTTGAAAATTAATTGCTTTTCCAGTATTTTCTTGGCAATCTAGCATAGGTAGTTGTTGCTGAAAATTATAAAAACTGAATTTGATTATAAATTGGCACACTTCATGGGACATCACTAGCGGGTAAAAGCTTAGCTAATTGATTATCAGAGTTTCACTTTGAGTTCAATTGTAATTGAAGGTTTTTGGAATTTTAAATTTATATTTTTTGAATTTGCTGATATTTCTTGGGTACTTGTGTTTCCTTTGCTGGATTAATTAATTATATAAGAAAATTTGACTCCTTTGAAACATATATCTATTTTATAATATTTTTGATATTGGAATCTTTTACTCACAAAATTACTTGTTGAATATAGTTAGGTTCTGCAACTTTTCTGTTTGGGTGGGTAATTGCAAAACAATATCTGCAATTCAAGTATGCCAGATTTCTTTGTCAGAAAAAAGAGTGTAATTGTCTACAAAAGGAAAAAAGAAAACTTTGGCAGCATACATGTTTAACATTTCTCCATTTTAAATCCATTTATTGTATTAAAAAAATTATTATCGGCAAATTTAATTCCTTATGCCACAGAAAATATACTCACTCACTTTCACTTTGAAGCAAACTCTGTGCAGACTGACATGACATGCTGTGAAAAGATGTGTTTTGCCTTTTCCTTTCAAAAGTCCTATAAAAGTTACTTGGAAATGAATAAAATTCAGCTCTGGTGGTTATTATAAACAACTGACTGATTTTTGGTTTCACTACTTCTGTTCAAGATGCTATTCCATTTTAAATCTAATCCAGCTACTATATCACCAAATACTTTATGCATCTGTGAGGTTCTAACAACGCATCAAGCCCTTATTTGTAGTAAAGTGTCCCTTATCTTAATTATTTGTTAATTTTGATTGATATTTGTACTTTCTCAATATCTGTTATGCATTTTAGATAATATTATTGAAAATAATATCATAGATGTTATCACTTTTCTTATAATCAGACTCATTATAGGTTTCTCCTCCATTTTATGTCAATTGAGATGATGTGTTCTTCTGCACTTAATTTACCATTTTGTTTAGCAATCTTTCTTACATCATGTACTTATCTTCAGACCAACATGGGAAGGTGGTCAGTATGATGGGGACGAAACCAGTCGACAGACTGCACTGCGGCTAGCCATGGAATTGGGTGCTGATTATATTGATGTGGAACTTAAGGTTGATTTCTTCTTAATAAAGTTTCAAATTTTTGTGTCTTGAACACCAACACACCTTTTAGTTAATTACAATCTATATGATACATGGTGCATCAATTTTTCTTATTAATATAATTCAAAGTTTCACACTCAACAAATGGTACAAATTGGACTCGGGTAACTAAAATTCAAAACATACTCGAAGCCCCAACTAGATATGCCATTGAAGAAGACAGATGATAATGAATAGACTAATATTGTTACATTCTAGTATTCTAGATGGTGGAGTTCACCAGACCACTTAGCCACAAAATTTCCATTTCATCTTCAGATGGTGGATAGTACAAATAGAGGGATAGAGATCTTAAATGTTGGGAGACTTGATTCATTTCTTGCAGGAAAAAGGAAAAAAAATGAACTGGAAAAATAATAGTAGTAATCTATGCTTCTTGTTCAATGATCTAAGAGCATGGATTCTTCTATTCAAGAAATTTAATGAATTATCTAAATTTGTGTAACTGGCAGTTAATAGGAGCTGGTTGAATTCACTAGATAACTAAATTTCTAAGTGAAAACAAAATGAATTATCAACTATACCAGGTGCCTCTCGTCACCATTTGCTTCATTCCTCTGAATTTCAAGAGTTATGGACTCCACCAAATTTCTCTCGAGTTTCCAGACCTGCAATGAGTTCTGCCAGACCGTGTCACTTTCAGTTAGCAAATTCTCTATCACAACCTTTCCAGGATTAGACCATCTATATGGCCCCCTTCTACAGGATTAATGCACCGAGCCATATGTCCAATCTAATTTCAAAGCACTTTGGGTTTTAAAATGTATAATAAAGCCTCTTGATGGCATTCATCATATCATAACATCTAATTCATTTAGTTTTTCTTCTGTTACAAATCCTTTTGGCACTGATATTCATCTTTATCTTTAACACATAAAAGCTGATTTGTACCCCGGAGTTGCACACTTTGACAGATATTGGGCAGCCAAGGGAGGGGAGAGGGGTTGGGAGCTACACTGGGTGGCTAGGGGTTAAATGAAGATAGGAACATACTTTAAGTGCTATACATCCTGCACCTTTGTGAACAGAGAATATAAAACCAGCATGTAATACAGATCAACAAATGTAAATATGAACAGAGAATATAAAACCAGCATGTAATACAGATCAACAAATGTAAATAATTGTATAGGCTCCTTCAATTGCTAACGTAATTAGAATCTGATCCTTTCTAGTTTTCAATCTGAAAAAGAAGCAGCGCCGACACTGCTCTTCTCTGTGCTATGTAAATACAAACAAATATGATGAATGGTATTTTATCTAAAATTACTTATAAAGCACCTTGTCAATCACTGAAAAGTTGAAATGTGTCTTGTAACTCTTAAATATCTAGCAAGTAGTAACTTGACAATATACAATAATCGAATGTTGAGTTGAACAGGTGCAATCAAAGTGGAGATAAGCAAGATTTATGCTACAGTTGCTACTTTCTCTGTGATGAATATCTGAATTTCTTGTCTTCCCATTTTAATTAACTAACACTTCAACTATTTTATCTCTTAAAGGTGGCTGATGAATTCTACAATTCCATTAAAGGCAAGAAGCCTGAAAAGGTCAAAATCATTGTTTCTTCTCACAACTATCAAAATACTCCATCCATCGAGGAAATTGGCAATCTTGTTGCAAGAATACAGGCTACAGGAGCTGACATAGTGAAGATTGCAACAACTGCCTTAGACATCACCGATTCAGCACGTATTTTTCAAGTACTTGTGCATTCTCAAGTAAGTAATAAACAGACCATGGTATTTCTTAATGAGCTGTAGGTTTAAGTTAATGCTTTTTGATTATGTATATGAATGTGCTACTGTTACATTAGTACAGGATAGAAAGCAATGCTGCATGGGCTCTATTTACATATATGTACTTAATAACTTCAAAATTTACACAAGTAGAACTGAATATTTTAAGCATAAACTGGAAAGGAAACGTGTATTAACAATTTAAGGCATTTTTACTTTTGATTTCTCCCTTGATGACCTTGTAAAATATCTGATTAAGTAATTTGTTTTTCTCCTTATCATCAACGGATATCTCCAGGGGCAAACTAATATTTTTGGTGAGAGAATGTGTTTCTATATAGCAGACGTCAAAAGATTAATTAGGCTTAAGAAAATTAGTATTTTTTGTTGTTTTTGTAGATTAGTTTTTGAGTTTTTTTCAAGCCAGTTTATATCTCATAATTTTTTATCTAGAAACTAGCAGAATTTGGTATGCTAGTAGTTCTTAGTTGCTAAGCACGTGTTTTGGTTTTATTAGAACGGCTCTGTGTTATGATGTTATTCACATGGTCATTTATTTCAAGCATTGGCACCAGAAAAGAACACAGTGATGGGATGTGGTGCCTAAAATGAAATTTCCAAAATATAAAGATAATGAGATAGACAATATGTATAGAGACACATAAAAAAGGTATGTCCTTGTTAAAAAATTATTCACAATGAAAAAAGTGGATACTAGTCCATATCTGTATTTGAACAGGGAATACTCAGAAAGATCATTGTAGTCATAGACTGTTGCAGTAAGTAATGAGGGCAAAGGCATTAGATTCACAAGTTTTGGAGATATTGATGTTTAAAATTTTTATAGGTGAACAAAAGATCATGGAGACATTGAAGGGGTGTGTTTGTATAATTTATGAAGTTCTTAAAAAGTGGAAAAGCTTATTCCAGATCACCTATTATGAAACAGGCTTCCTAGATCCAAGAACCATGTGCGTTCTTGAACATATTAAAGGATCTTTCTTTTAGTATGGCTTCAACATTTATTTCATGTTCTATTTCTGAATCTGAAAGACTTTTGAAATTCACAGAACCATTTTTTAGAAAAAGGTCTCAATCTGATAAGAACTGAAGAGACATCAAACTTTGAAAGTGATGCAAAAAAAATTTAGAAATTGAAGTGGTTGTGAAAGTTGCATCTAAAAATCCCACAAATATTGTAATTGCATCTCAAATTGCGGTGAATAATGATAAGCAGATAAATTATCAAAAATGAAAATGCTAAGCAGATTTGAAAAATTAAAATGGCAAGCTTAAACTGAGGAAGAAACTAAGAAATTAATTTGATTCCAATTAAGCGTCAGGGTATAAAGGTGGTTATCCATTTAAGGGAATTTGATTGAGTTGATGTAAAGAAAAGATGAATGTCTTTGTCAAATGTTATATCAAACCACTGGAGTTTTCAATCAACTTAAAAAAACAGTCAATCGTCAGTTTCGGCTTCACAGCTCTTTCATTCATGATTTATATACTTTGGCAGCATAGCAACAACGTGAAAATTTGCTTTAAAGAAAACCTATTAGTACTTAGTTCATAGTTTTTTAGTGGCAAAATTTTCATTCTAAAAGCATTAGAATATTTTCCGCGGTCATTCATTTTCATCAGATTTAATCATTCAAGTGTTATCAGAAGTTTGTTATTCCTATATGTCATTACTTTTTCAGGTGATCGCAACCTTTCTTGATAGTTACCATATCATTATATTCTTAAAAGTTCTAGATTTGCTAATCACTTCAATTGGCAATGCAGGTACCAACAATAGGAATTGTCATGGGTGAAAGGGGCTTGATATCACGGATACTTTGTGCCAAATTTGGTGGATTTCTCACTTTTGGTTCTCTTGATGAAGGAGTGGTATCAGCTCCAGGGCAACCAACCATAAAAGATTTGTTGGAGTTGTACAATTTCAGACAGATAGGGGCTGATACCAAAGTACATGGTGTTATTGGAAAACCTATTGGACACAGCAAAAGTCCTCATCTATATAACGCAGCATTTAAGTCAGTCAAATTTAATGGAATTTATTTGCCTCTGTTGGTAGATAGTGTTGCAAACTTTCTCAACACCTATTCGTCTCCTGATTTTGTGGGTTACAGGTGCAACTTCTTCTTAAGAATTTTGAAACAAAAAATGTTTTATCTCCTGCATTTGTTAAAAGTATTTCAATGCATGTGACTTCCATTGTTCTATGACTGCGCTTCAATTTAATTTATCTTATGTAACACCAATCAGGTGCTTGTGTACTGTGTGCAATGTTTTCCATTGAAGAATACACATTTTGATTTAGGTCCTGGCAACACAAGATCTTTTTAACTGCTCCAGAATACATTTTTCTCTTTATAAACGAAATAAGTAATAACACATTTTTTTTTGGATACAGTTATACAATTCCACACAAGGCAGATGGACTTAAATGCTGTGATGAGATCGATCCAATTGCCAAGGTATTCCATTATATCTTTGCATGCTTATATAGTGTCTTCCCTTACCATCAGCTATTATGCAGTGTCTGCATCATGTACAAAAACATAATTTGTTCATCAAATCATTGCAGGAAATAGGAGCTATTAGTTGCATGATCAGGAGACCAAATGATGGGAAGTTGATGGGTTATAATGTTGACTATCTTGGAGCTATTGGAGCTATTGAGGAAGCACTAGGAGGTTGTAAAAGTACCCTGTGAAATTAACAATTCCAGTTAGACTCCTTGTTTTAAATGTAAGGTTTCTCAACTCAATATTGTTCTTTTGCAGGTTCCCAAGGATCTGTTTCACCCCTATCTGGTAAACTGTTTGTTGTAATTGGAGCTGGTGGTGCTGGAAAGGCACTTGCTTATGGTGGAATGGAAAAAGGTGCAAGAGTCGTAGTTGCCAATCGCACATATGGTACAAATCTCTACTTTATATCGCCATTATTATTCCAAGATTGATTTATACTTCAATGGCTTGTATGATTATGGTACGATAATAGTGAGGTGAATGAAACTCGAGCCTAGATGGGTTTGGATCAGTCACAAGACTCCTATTTTTCTATTTTCTCTTTGCTCTTTCCAAGGCCATAATTTCAGTTAATCACGTTGTTATTAATCTTAGCTGCATATGACCAAACCATCTTAATAATTTCTCTCAATTCATCTCCAATAGGTTCTACTTTGCCATCTCATGAATGCATTCATGTCTAATTTCATAATTTTTTGTGTTAAAACACATCCATCCAAAATCCAAAACTCATCACTGTCATACAATATGTCTCTTAGTTTTCCAACATTTTCCCTCATTAGTGTTTATAGAATTTATAGAATTTATCAATCAGTTTTGAGTTGATCATGATGAGAAGTTTTTCTTATAGCAAGCCGATTATCTAGGCGCGCTAGATACTTTCTTATGACTGATTATTTTCTTGCCCCACTTTATGTCCAATAAAATGCATGATATATATATTGAGAAGCAAAATGATTTTGTAGTAACACATTATTGTTCTAAAGAATTTTTAAAAACATGGAGGGAAAAAAGAAGGGTTTGAGACAAAATTGAGATGAAAGCGTAAGCACTGGTTCTTTCCTAGTTTAAAATGAGTGCACTTTTCAAGGATGCTGTGAGATTTCATGTATTACTCGGTGCATTTTTAGTCTCTTCAGAATACCACTAAATATAATGAAGCAATCTATTTTGTTACTGTAAAATTTATGTTCTTCAATAACAAGCACATGCTTTTTTTCACAAGTCATTTTCCGATATAATTTGAATCTTTTCTGCTTTCTACACTCAAATGATGGTATGTGTTTTCTTCTGGCTGCCAGAAAAAGCTAAAGAACTTGCCAATAAAGTTGGGGGAGAAGCTATTACTCTTGCTGAATTAGAAGATTTCCATCCAGAAGAGGGGATGATTCTTGCTAATACTACATCTGTAGGAATGAAACCAAAAACTGATTTGACACCCTTATCTAAGGTTTGGTTCCTCTCTTTTTCCCGTTTAGATACTTGTTATCGTTGAATGCTGCTAGGATTTGCAGATTGTGTTACTTTTCAATTTGTTATGACATACTTCAACATCTAATGAAAAACAAATTGCTCCATTTATGTTTTGTACGTGGTACTTTTTGAATTCCTCTTGGTGTGGACCATTGTAGGAAATGGAAGCCATTATCGTGAATGATATTAGCCGAAAAGAAAAAGAAATCTTCCATCCACTTAATCCTAAAATAGATGTCGTATCATTAACTGTGGACATGGTATCCAAATTTGTTTTATGTCTTAATTGATGATGATTTTTTTCTTTCAAACACTATGTAGAAGACATTGGACCTTCCAACTCACTAGGTAACAGAAAAGTGCTTTTAATATTCTGGAGCACAGTAACTGTGTCATCAATGAACACACAATCAATTTGGAGGCATGCTTCATTTTATATCATTCTTTGTATTGATCCTTGAAATATCAAATTGTTTGCTGCAATCATCCATCACGGAATCCTAGAAACTACATCCTCAACCTTCATTTAAATTGATGCTAAAATTTTCTACTCTTACCATCAAAAACTTCTCTGAGGGCATAATATACTTGAGAAATCTCAGTTCAATCTTAATACGTACCTGTATAATACAAATCATTTGAGTTTTCTAAACTAAATTTTGAATAAACTAACTCCAATGCCAATAAATTGAGTCTGCAAATGAGGATGTCATACCTATTATTCTTCTTCTGAGTCCTGTCCCACCTTCCATTCACTGCCAACAAAAACCCTATTGAATATCTGTGACTATTCATGATATATGTGAAGTTGTGTCACGAATTTTGTTTCGGTCAATGTTACTTTGTTTTTTTTCAACCATAATGGTGGATAGATTAACCTTTTTAATGATGTTTAACTCATATAATTCGCTGTCAAATTTACTGATTACATATGACATTGACTGCTAGTTATCACTTATTGATGAAGTTAACCACTCTCGTCTTACTTTTTTGCAGAAAGCTTTGAGTTATTACTCCTTAGTTTTTGATGCCATCTACACACCAAAATGGACCAGACTCTTGCAAGAAGCGCAAGAATCAGGAGCCAAAGTTGTGTTTGGGACAGAGATGTTCATCAATCAAGCATTTGTACAGTTTGAAAGGTTCACTGGCTTGCCCGGTAAGATGAAGCCAAGAAGCTGTCTAATCTGCAAGTTCTTTAATTTTGGCACTTCCGTAGTTGTTGCTCTTCCACTTTCTCATTTTGCTTCTTCTTTCTACTGCAGCACCAAAAGCACTGATTAGGGAAACTCTCGCGAAAAACACATAAGTAGCTGCTTTCTTTATCTCCGCTTACAGCTGGATGGATACTTACCGATTACAGCTATAATTCATTTCGGTCTATTAGTTTTGTTGTTTAGTTTTCGAGTTTTTCTGTTGTATAATCATTTCCTACTTCATTTATGAATGAAACTGAAGGTGAATCCTTTGTTCAAATCATATTTGGAATATTAGAGCATGGCTGCAGGAAGGAACCATGGTAACATATTTGTGTAGCCAGCTGCAAAATGTTGGGATAATATTTTTGGCATGTGCAATGAGATTCTTCACTTTGATACAACATTTTAATTGCATGTATCAGAAGTTGATTCCAAGCCTCATAGCTGCAATAATCTATGCAGTAGATCTTTTGTCAACACTCATCCAACTTTTAATGGTCCATATTCAGCCACACACACAGGATTTTAACTGAACTATATAATTGAAGGTGGATTTGTGACCTTCGAACCACCGAGAGAACAACATTTTTGAGAATTTAAAGTTAGACAGAGATACATTCTCGGAATTTGAAATATTCTTAATAAGAGGGATGTTTGGGGTGGGGTGTTACAGTAAGGTCCACAACCCCTCACATTCCACTCATTTGGCATCTCCGAATTCTCTCATAGTCTACTCATTTGACATTTCCGAATTCAAAAGATGAAGATGACGCTTTAAAATTAGTTTTATTTAGTGAAAGATAAAATAGAGTGGCATTTTCTCATAATTTGATTATATGTTCGCTAAAAAATAAAAAAAAAATAAAAAGAAGGAAAAGTAGGGTCGGGTTCAGTTTTGAAAGATGATTCTGTTATCAAGTTACTGAAACTTTGTGGCGAGATTGGAATGCAAGAAAATAGACCATATTTAGGTGCAAGGGACGGTAAGGGCATAATCTAGTGGCTTTTGCATTACCTTCGTGTGCCCAAGAACCAAAACACTTTCAGTGGTCTTTGTTCCCTAAGCACCCTTTATTTGTTTATTTATATATTTTTTAAAAAAAAGGTTGACGCCTATGCTACTCTCACTTACTTCGTATAAAATACTGTGTGTAAAGAGTCCAAAACCTCCATTTCTGGACTCTGTGTGAGTTCCATAAAGAGATGGCCATTTGTATGCATGATCCGAGGCTGGATTGTTGGCATTTCGATTATTCTACTCTCTTTCGCCAATATGCGTCCTTTCCTGACCTGAAGAAGGTGGATTATTCTACTCTCTGGTGTGAAGGTACGTAGGTCTTGATACTGAAACCTTGTGGCAAGATTGGAATGAAGTGAAATAAATTAGTATTGTTGAATTCAAAATTGTGCTTTTAATTGGTGGAAATTTCTATTTAACTTCAATTAAGAAGAAATCAATTAACCGGTGACATACTCGTATGAATTTACACTGTCATGGATTTTCTTTTATGCTTTTGGAACCAATAATGACTGAGCACAAAGCTAAGCAGAACCCAATTTTGAATGAGTAATGAAATTGGAACGAATTGCAATGAGAATTGGGTTTGTTTTTGTTTCCAATTTGACGAAGCCCAGAGAAGAAAATCATCCATGAATTGGGATTAGTATAAAAGCCACATTTGGCTTGCAATGAATTCCGAATGAGAGTGGAGTACGGGCACTGGTGGAAGAGATGATTGTGGGTTTTCTGCTGCTTTGAGACATAGGATACACGCATTTGGTTTCATCAAGTAATTACAAGAAATACTTTCAAGACATTGTTGGTGATACATCACTACTTGATGCATTAACTGCTTTTGAAAGAGCCATGGTCCTTGGCACATGCTTTTGTCCTCCCTCCTTAAGAAAATTTTGTGTGGTATACCCAGTCTTACTCTTTAGTGCTAAAGTCTATAATCATCATTATTGGCAAGTAAGTTCCATCAATTGTTGGGTTCCACCATTCCTATTGCAGCAGCCATATTAGACTTTTCTTCAATTTACTAGCTTTACTGGGGTAATGTTAGCTGTGTGGATACCATTTACATCCTTACTTGGTCCTTCTTCAACAGAAATTTGAAGATTGAATTCTTCCCAATTTCTATCTCTATCTATCTATCTCGATATAAGAGGCTTTTCTCAGCTACTCTCTGTCTCTCTCTATTTGCAGTTGAAAAGATGGCTGAAGCTTTGGTGGGTGGAGCTTTTCTCTCGGCTTCCCTTCAAGTGTTGTTTGATCGTTTGGCTTCTCGGGAGTTCATAAGCTTCTTTTCCAAACAGAGGCTTGATGATGGACTCATAGAGAAGCTGAGGAGAACCTTGCTGGTGCTTCAAGCAGTGCTGGATGATGCGGAGGACAAGCAAATTACCAACAAGCACGTCAAAGATTGGCTCGACGAGCTCCAGCATGTTGTCTACCAAGCTGAGGACTTGCTGGAGGAGATCGCTACTAAGGCGTTGAGGAACAAGTTGGAAGCTGATCGTGATCAGTCCCAAGCCCAAGTCAGCACACCTCAGGTTGGTATCAGCCGATTTTTTGGTCCAATCAAGCAATCTCTCTTACGCATTACTCACCCAGTCTCGACTTCTCCTTATTTGTCTGATGAAGAGATTGAGTCCAAATTGAAAGGGGTTATCATTAAGTTGGAGTGGTTTGTCCAGCAAAAAAATTCTCTTAATTTGAGAGAGAATGTTGGAAGAAAACAGTGGCAAAGACAAGAAACAACTTCTCTGGTATATGAATATGAGGTCTATGGGAGGAATACCGACAAAGAGAAGATTATGAAATTGTTGTTCTCTGACAATGCAACTGCGAATCAGATTCATGTGATTCCCATTGTAGGAATGGGCGGGATGGGCAAGACAACCCTAGCTCAACTCATATACAATGATGCTGAAGTAAATGAGAAGTTTCAAATGAAAGCATGGGTTTGCGTTTCTGATGCATTTGATAGTTACATGATAACAAAGAAAATTTTTGACGATGTCACCACATCAAACAATACTATCAACAATCTTGATCAACTTCAAATCAAGTTGAAAGAAAGCCTCGCACGGAAGAAATTTCTAATTGTGTTAGACGATGTTTGGAATCACAATTACAATGACTGGGACTGCTTAAAAAGACCTTTCAGTGCTGGAGCACATGAAAGTAGAATTATCGTAACAACACGCATTGACGAGGTCGCATCAGCAATGGGCACCTTTCCTAGTTATCACTTGAAGCAATTGTCGTTTGAAGATTGTTGGTCATTATTTGCAAAGCATGCATTTAGGAACAGAGATCATATTGCTAATTCAGACCTAGAGACCATTGGAAAACAAATTGTGGAGAAGTGCAAAGGCTTGCCTTTAGCGGTAAAATCACTTGGAGGGCTCTTGCGTTCTAAACTAGATATTGAGGACTGGAAAAATATATTAAAAAGCGAGATATGGGATTTAGAGAGCGACATCTCTCCGGCTCTACGATTGAGCTATCTTTATCTCCCTTCACATTTAAAGCGATGCTTTGCATGTTGTTCAAAGTTTCCTAAAGATTACAAATTTGAAAAGGAAAAGTTAGTCCGGTTATGGATAGCCGAAGATCTTGTGCAGCAACCCAAAAACAACAAATTAGTAGAAAATGAAGGTAACTTCTACTTCCGTGAACTATTATCAAGGTCTTTCTTTCAAAGATTAAGTCATGACAATGATTTTGAATTTCTAATGCATGACCTGATCCATGACTTAGCTCAACATATATCTGGAGATTTCTGTTTCAGGCTAGAATATGACAAACCACTTGATCATATCTCTGAAAAAGTCCGTCATTTCTCATATATTCAGTGCAGATATGATGCATTTGAGAAATTCAAGGTTGTTAAAGAGGTTAAGTGTTTACGAACTTTCATATCATTTCCAGTACGTGGATGTTTTTTTTGTTTGGGCAATAAGGTACTACATGATATGTTGCCAAGCCTGAGATGCTTAAGGGTACTATCTTTGTCTAGATATTGGATTTCTAAATTGCCTGAATCTATCGAAAATTTGATACTTTTACGTTATTTGGATCTCTCTATGACAAAAATCAGACAGTTACCTGATTCAATAACAACCTTGTTTAATTTACAGACATTAGATTTGTCATATTGTGAAGATCTCATTGAGTTACCTGTGAATATTGGAAAACTAATTAACTTGCGCTATCTTGGTGTAAGTGGAACTGCATTAACTGAAATGCCGATCCAAATGAGCAGACTGAAAAATCTCCAACATCTGACATATTTTGTAGTTGGCAAGAATAGTGGGTCAAGGATTAATGGGTTGAAGGAACTATATCATCTTCGGGGGAAGCTTCTCATTTCTGGGCTTCAGAATGTAACTAGTGGTCTGGATGCATCAGAGGCCAATCTGAAAGGAAAGGAGGACCTTGAAGGATTAGAGTTGGAATGGGGTGGCGATACAAATGATTCACAAAAAGAAAGAGACGTACTTGACAAGCTAGAGCCTCATGCAGGGGTGAAGGATCTCCGCATCATTAAGTATGGGGGCACAAGATTTCCGGATTGGTTAGAGAGATCTTATTCGTTACATAAGATGGTGTCCTTAAAACTTGTAAGGTGTGCATATTGTAGTTCTTTGCCATCAATTGGGCAACTACACTCTCTAAAATATCTAAGGATTGAAGGGATGAAAGCAATAACAAAAGTGGGTCGGGAGTTCTATGGGGATTCTTTTTCGATCAAGCCATTTCAATCTCTAGAGACACTCAGCTTTAAAGAAATGCCAGAGTGGGAAAAATGGCATGCATTAGGGGTTGAAGAGTTCCCTTGCCTTTCAGAACTTTCTTTTGTCGATTGTCCCAAGCTGACCGGTGAATTACCGAACCACTTCCCATGTTTAAGGAAACTTGAGATTTCTGGATGCCAACGACTTCTGTCAAGTCAAGTTGGGCAGCTGTTGCAACACCTGCCTTCTCTTCAGGAATTGACGGCTTCAAAATTGTCAGACTTGACAGAGTTGCCGACGGAATTGCAAGACCTGTGTTCTCTTCAGAAATTGGAGATTTCATGGATGCCAAAGTTGAAGCAACTGCCATCAGAGTTATGCAGATTGATAAATCTCGAAAGCTTGGTGATGAACCATTGCCCACGCCTGAAGTCCTTTTCAGACATGGGATTACCACCACTGCTCAAGACTCTGAAGATTAAAGAATGTGATGCTCTGCATTCCCTGCCACTACCACAGGGATCTTATTTTTCATCTCTTCAGGTATCTTTACCCATTGGTGGTTTACCTGCTACATTGAAAACACTTGATGTCCTTAACTGTAGGAGTTTATTAAAGTTTCCCCTGTCCAAGGGGATGGAGCATAATTATCACTCATCCATTGAAGTTTTGAGATTTAGTGGCTGTGATCTTCTCAAATCATTGTCATTAGGCTTCTTCCCGAAGCTTAATTCTCTCGAGATATTAGGGTGTAAAAATTTTGAAATGCTTTCAATCCCCAACAACAAAGAGCTTCAAAATCTGGTGAAGCTTAAAGTAGAGGATTGTCCTAAAATTGTATCTTTTCCCCATGGAGATGGCGGATTTCCCGCTTCAAACCTGACCACTTTTAGCATCGGAAGTTGTAATAATCTGAAGTCACTGCCGCAAAGAATGCACACCCTCCTCCCTTCTCTTCAAGAATTGACTATATGGAGCTGTCCAGAAGTTGATTCATTTCCAGATGGAGGTTTGCCATCCAACCTCCGTCAACTTGCCATCTTTAATTGCGAGAAACTCATGAAGGGTCGGATGGGGTGGGGTTTGCAGACACTCCCATCTCTTGGAGTATTCTTTATCAGTGGTAAACCTGAAGAACAAGGAGAAGAAGAAGAGTTGGAGTCATTTCCGGAGGAGTGGCTATTTCCCACCACTCTTACCTCTCTTGACATCAGCTTCCTTCGAAATCTGAAATCACTGAACCACAAGGGGCTTCAACACCTCACCTCTCTTACAAGTCTATCCATCTTGTACTGCCCTAAGCTCCAGTCCTTACCAGAAGAGGGGCTGCCCAACTCACTCTCTTTCCTGAATATATCCGAATGTCCATTGCTGAAAACAAGTTGCCAATGGGAGAAAGGGGAAGATTGGCTGAAGATTTCCCGAATCCCCCACATTAGTCTCAATCGTGAAGAACACATCATAAACTTAGAGTGACACTGATTGTGTAGATTCATTATGTAAATAATGGACCAGAGATTAGGGAGGGCTCTAAAGAGAAAGTGAATGCCCTGGTTGGAGGGTGACAAGGAGGACACTTACTGCTGCAGGGAAGATAAAGGTTGGTTCCTGTGTGTGTTTAGAAATATATACATATACATATATATATATATATATATATATATATATATATATCATTTTTTTCTATGTTATTGAGCTTTTCTTTTGCTTACCTCCGGGTGTATCCTGTGAAACCAGCTGAAACTGCCGTTCTAACTGGAGGAAAGCCCAGTGAATCGAATTGTCTTACGAGTTACATGCCTTATTCACTTTTTCTTTTTGGCTGCTGTTAGATAATTGTCTAGCTTCATTATCAGTGGGTCACATTACACAGTTGTATCTTGGTACTTGGCAAATGCTTTTAAGTATACACTATAGCAAAATATCATCCTTCATAAATCATGTTATAGGACACATTAAATTAATGTATCGTTTAACAAAACTATCGAAAGATAGAATAAAATAAAATAGAGATTAAGTCCCTATATATCTTTGTATCATGTCCATTATCTTTTTACTGATAGATGCTTTGTGATCTTGACATCTTGGTTGGGAGTATTGACTGACAACATTATTTTGCTGATATTTGGTGGAAATGTAATTGGCTTTTTCGAAGGTATTCTCCATTAAGTTTTTTAGGTGTTAATAATTTAGTAAGAGACACACCCATGTTCCGATTGGGACTTAAACCCTACATCTCTCCTTTTGGTGGTGGCAGGACATATAACTCAAACTAACAATTGGTGGCAAGTTGTTGTGTTAGTATATGTCCAAGTTTTGTTACAAATCGATCAGGTACTTGTTTGCTCAAGCTTTTCTTTTCCTTTAGTTTATTCACACTTGTTTCCTAGTCTGAGCTAGTTGCGCTTTAGCTTAATTTCCGAGCAACACCAAGCCCGGTTTCACTGAGCTATTGAATGCAGGAGCAGGTTAACTACGTAAAGTCAGTTCGTGGTTATGACAATCTAAAGTTGAAGCATCTGCTACCATTCATCAATCTTTGCCAAAATATTCTTTGAGTGCGTGTTTGGATCAAATATCTAAATCAATTGAAATATCTTTGGGATCTTCATTTGAATTAAGAAAGGCCTAAGGAACATAGAATGGATTATGTTCTAGCTGCTGTGTTCTAAGATGTTGGATTAGTCAGCTCCCTGAAACATATGAGATGGGAACATGATGCATTGCTGATCTAATAACTCTTTATATAAGCCGTAAATTAGGAAAGTGAAATTCAGCTGGAACATTGATCATAGTCATGCATTGTAATGTTAATAAATAGGTTATGCTCAGGTTCCCAAACAGATTAGAGATTGGTTGATCCAGCTTAGACAAGTTTCAATGGTGCTAGCTGACTTAGGACAAGTATGAGCAATTCAACCAAACTAAAGTTGAACACATCGTCCACTACCCTTGCAAGTTATTTAGCAATGCGTGTTTCAATGACGCATTTACTTTGTATGCTTGTAGATAATCCTCCGTTATTATTATACATGTATAATGATGCGTTTTCTGTTTTCTTTTTTCATTCAATATTAACTACTGTCACAATTTCTTTTCTATCAGTAGGTAACCCATGAACTCATACATGATTTTTGGTACAACCGACTGTAACACATGAAATTGTAATAACAAAAGCAGAGAGAAATGTCGGAGTTGACTCTGGTACAAGGTTTTTCCACTGACTGAACAAAAGGGATTTAAATATGAGTTCAAATTCTTAGTAAGTTTGGCTGGACTTTCCTGTATTAATGATGATTCCTTTTTCTTGTTTTTTATGTCACTTGATATATAACATACCCAACAGTTTTAATATTATGCTTGCAGATCGGTTTCCTTGGATTGGTTTCCAGCATGCTGAAGGGTTAAATGTAGTATATTTTGGTGGCTAGATGGGCTCAAACCATTCCAACTTGACAACTTTCAGAAGTACAATCATTCAATGTCGTGAAGAAATAAAATTCTGAGGGTCCATAAGCAGTAAATTTCATCAAAGGTACTCAAGCACTTTTGGCTTGTGATATGTTCACCCTTTATTTGAAATCTTAATCGGGCTCAATACAGTGGCTGCTTAATTGGAATAGGTTTGTTGGATCTGAAGTTTGTAGTTTAGTCCAGTGCCTAGATTATGGAATTTAACTATGAATGCATTGAAAAAAAAAAAGGAGTAGGGAAGATATTTGACAGCAGTTAAAATATTGTTTTTTTATTTGTTATCATTTGTTTTGTTTGTCCTAGACTGTTGAGTGTTGATGCCACTAGGTAACCCTGTCAACTGTTCTAACTATATTGACCTTAGCCACTCTCAGAGTCATGTTCCTTCTGCTAAGGCATATGCATTTTGGCTTTCCTTCTGAAGTTAGTAAACCTAAGTATCATGTTTTTCACTTGTGGAAAAGGAAAATGGGTAACTGAATACGCATCAACTACATTTTTTTCCTGCTTAAGATATTGTTTATAGTTCTGTTTGGCTAGGATTCTGTGTCTGCAATGAAAGTTCAGGTAGTTTTGAACTAAGTAGAATTTTGTTATGTTGTATTCTATTATGAGAATCTTTGGAACTTGCTACCTGTTTTGTTTTGTTCATCTTTTTTCTTCTTGTTTCCAACTTCCTTCTTGTTCCCAATTTTCTTTTTTTTCCTCATTCATCTCTTTCTCCAATTTTTTTTTTCTCGTTTCCAACTCTTCTTTGAGTATGATTATTTCTGTTATTTCTTCTTCCATCTTTACTTTCTTCTATCAAGATATTTTGAGAAGAGACACCTTTGCGTACTGACTCTTTCCAAATTTAATACTTTGCATAAGTTCGTGTAATAGGCCCACATAAGATACAAGGAATTGGTGCTACTGCTGACACCGTCCTCGCTATTTTGAACATCAACATTCTTGATGATGAAGTCAAGTAAGCCTCAAAATCTTATTATTGGGAATTTAGTTTGAATTGACATGTGCGATCTTTTGCTCATGTAATTGTTATCTTCAGTAAAAATATTAGAAGGAAAATGAAAACACATAAAAAGAAAGTGAAAGTACAAAGCTCTCCGTTCCAGTTACAATGTATTTCATTATTTTCCCGTCTTTAAGTCTTTGAAAGTTGTGCACGTGGTGGTTGCATTTTGATTTGTTTTTCTTGGCTGCTAGTCATTGATAATATTTACGTGTGTATTCTCTGCATGTGCAGATATAAACATTTTCGTAGAGTTGTTTTGGTCCTAGGGTGATTCTTCTTTTGAGAGATGGGATAAAAATATGAAAAGGGAAATGGGAATGACATAATATATATTTTGATATAGAAGTAAAGTTATGCCTACAGTAAATTACAAAATAGAACATTTGCAGTAACTAAGAGATCTTCTTAAGGAGTGCACTTTTCAAGGACATTGTGAAATATCATGTATTGATGTTCATTTTTAACCTGTTCAAAATACCACTAAATAAATAGCAATGAAATCTATTTTGTTAATGTAAAATCTATGTTCTTTGACACTAAGCATATACCGTTTTTTCCAAGTCATGTTCAGAAATAGTTTGAATCTTTTCTGCTTGCTAAACTCATATGTTGATATGTGTTTTCTTCTGATTGCTACACAAAGCTAAAGAACTTGCCAATAAATTTGGGGGAGTTGCCATTTCTCTTGCTGAATTCGATGATTTCAATCCAGAAGATGGGATGATTCTTGAGAATGCTACATCTATAGAAATAAAACCAAAAATTGATGTGACACCCATATATAAGGTTTGGTTCCCTCTCTTTTTCCCATTTGGATATTCTGTTATCATTCAAATGTTGCTAGGATTTGCAGATTGTGTTACTTCTCACTTTGTTATGACATGCTTGAACATCTCATGAAAAACGAATTGCTCCATTTGTGTTATCATGCAATAAATTGTGTACCATCAGCAGTGGAAAATGACTTCCAAATTATTTTATGGCTTTATTGATGATGATTTTGTTCTTTCAAATACTATTTAGAAGACACTGAACCGTTCAATCACATAATCAGAAACAAAAAAAAAATGCCCTTAGTAATCTGGAGCACAGTATACTGTCATTGATGAGGTTATGATGGCAAATCACTATGCAATATGCAAACATGAATATGACATCAAATTTGGAGGCGTAGAAAAATTACTTCATTTTCCATCGTCATTCTTTTCATTGAGCCATGGCGTATCTAATTGCTAGTGATCATTACCCGTCGTGTGATCCTAAAAAAAACATTCTCAACCTTCATTTAAATTGATACTAAAATTCTCTTTACCATAAATAACTTCTCTCTGAGGGCACAAGTTATCTCTTCATCTTATTAAAAAATCTGATTTCAATGTTGATATTTGCTTGTATAATACAAATAAGTTGAATTTTTTTAAAAAAAAATTAGGAATAGACTACCTAAAATACCAATAAATCCAAGGCTGCAAATGAGCGTGTAATTTACCTAATTTTCTCTTTCTGTCCCACCTTCAACTCCCTGCCAACAAAAAGAAGTATAAGAAAACTAAAACAATACTTCCTTTTGCAAGTAGATCAGTGGATGTCTATGACTAATTGTTCATGCTAGAACGTATTAATGTGTTCTTGTGCAATTATGGAATCTTTTTTCTTGAAATTTTTGACAGGATAGTGGATTGCCAATTTGTTCTGTTTAACTATAGTTTCTGAGAGTAACCTTTTACAGGATTCTTAAGTCATCAAATTCGCCACCAAAAGTTCACTGACTACCCGTGACATTGATTGCTAATTATTATTTACTGATTAAATTGACCACTTTCGTCTTAATTTTTGACAGAGTGCTTTGAGTAGTTACTCATTTTTTTATGCCATCAATACACCAAAATGGACCAGACTCTTGCAAGAAGCACTAGAGTCAGGAGCCAACGTTGTTTTTGGGACAAAGATATTCAATAATCAACCATTTGTATATTTTGGAAGGTTCACTGGCTTTCCCGGTAAGATGAAGCCAACAAGCTGTTTTTTATCTACTAGTGATTTAATTTTGGTACTTTACAGTCTTTGTTCTTCTACTTTCTCATGATCATTGCTTCAATTCCAACTGCAGCGCCAAAAGCACTAATTAGGGGAACTCTGACAAGAGGCACATAAGAAGGAAATGCTTGGTGGATCTCTCTTTGCAGCTGGTTGGATGTTTATCGATTACGGCTAATTCATTTCAATTTATGAGTTTTGTTATTTAGATGTTTTTCTGTTGTACACTGAATTTCGACATCATTTATGAATGAACCTAAAGTCGAATCCTTTATTTCGACATCGTAGAAGAATGGCCACGGGAAGGCCATGATTACAGTTTTTTAATGCATTTTTTGGGATAACATTTTTGAGTAAACATTCAATTTCAAATGAAGATTCATCTTGTATTCTTTAATACAATTGGTTTCACAAAGACGATCTTTTATTTACTGCTTGTGTATGTGTTTATGGTTCTATGGGATGAATAGTATAATGTTTTAGGCATGTGACTTAAACGAGGACTTCTTTTCCACTGGGTAAGTGGATTATCAGAAAAATTTTGGTGTAGAGAAGCATATAACCAATGGGTATCGGCGAGGACTAATAAGTCTGTATTTCTTTTGGGTGGAGAGAACTTTTCATTACAAACAGAGGCTAAATTCTGTAAGAAAGTTGTTAGTTCCTTTGATATGTTCAATAGCAAAAGAATATTGAGCAATAACATTAAACCATTTTAAGCGTCTTCCATCTAAGCAATTCTTTTTGTTGATTAAAAAATCTTTTACTGCTTGGTTATCAGTACGAATAATAAAATCTTCAGGTGCTAAGTAGATATGAAATCGCTTGATTGCTAATTTTATTGCCAGAAGTTCTTTTTCATAAATGATGTAATTCTGTTCATTGGGTTAATTCTCATATGTTTGATTTCTGTTGCAAGCCCATATTATCCTGTCTTTGCTTATATGTCTGTGCCAAGACTAGGGGAGTCATAATCCATTTGATGTAACTTTATCTATAGTTACCTTCCTTTGCAGTTAAAAGAAAAAACCATTTCTTTAACCCGTAATAGTCGTACAGACACGGACATATAAGCAAAGACAGGATAATATGGGAAGATAAATCATTGGTTTAACACGAATAATGACATTCTCATCTTTGAGTTTTAGACTGCAAAAACGAGATTTGATCCTGAGGCATGAATCGTGGCAACAGTTGGTTCTGTAATTCGTAACTTGGGTTCAGAATTGATGTTATCAAATAACCAAGTTTTGGGAATCTCAAGATCTGTCCAATTGAGGAGTTTAGGCTCTCATGATTCATACCAAAATTTCCCTGCCATGATCAAATCCATGAGTACGAGCAACAGCGTCTCCTAAATTCAAAAGAAATTGCTAACAGCATTGTTCCATATTACTTTGAAATTCACAGTTTCTTGCACTTACAAGACATTGCTCGACGCCTTCTTAATGGTTCTTATCATAATCAAGAACCAGTGTTTTACTGTTGTGATGGACGCAGATTATTCGTTACCACAGTTACTTGTTATTACGGTGATGACAATGCAGAAGATCGCATTCAAATTGCTAAAGAATTTTTAAAAGAAATCATTAGCATGACTACACTTGATATCCCCTCTCGTGTCAAAGACGGAACTGAAAGACTCAATCTTGAATGGGATATTGCCGACGCACAGTCTCCTGCCAGTACCCCTCCACTTGATGAATATGAACTACATAATATCATCAATGCAATGGAAGGTTAAGCCGACACTCTTCTCCACGCGACTGCAAATAATGATCCAGCACATGACAGAAGACGTTGTCATGTCTACTTTTTCCAAAAGCAAAAGTAACTGAAAGCTGCCGACAAACTATTCATCAATAGTGAAAGTTGCCGACACTCACTTTTTCAAGCAGTAAAAGAAAAGATTCGTTCTTATCTTCTCCAGAACTGTTTACCCTTTTGTAATGTTATTTAAACCAAAGCCCCAGAATGGTTTAGGCATCTGTGTTTTTTGTATTTGTCTATCAGTACCTTGTAACATCCTTGTAACATCCTTGTGTAAACCTCAGTACCTTGTAACATCCTTGTGTAAACCTCAGTTCTTATTTCAATTCCGCATGTGTTTGTAATTGGTATGATTTGATCCTGAGGCATGAATCGTGGCAACAGTTGGTTCTGTAATTCGTAACTTGGGTTCAGAATTGATGGATGCTTTCTTGCCTTTTTGTGGGCAATTAGTAGCATAATGACCAACTTCATTGCAAATATAACATTTACAATCCTTTTTTGTTTTCTCAATGTTTAGATCGGAAAGTGAAACGAAGATTAAAAAATCTTTTACTGCTTGGTTATCAGTACGAATAATAAAATCTTCAGGTGCTAAGTAGATATGAAATCGCTTGATTGCTAATTTTATTGCCAGAAGTTCTTTTTCATAAATGATGTAATTATGTTCATTGGGTTTAAATTTCCCAGAATTGTATCCACAAATTAACTCTTCTTTTTGAAGAAGTTTGGTGATTGGAGCTTTACGGGCTCGGATCATCGGATATGACGGAGTGTCGTCACACCATTTTTCTTTTGGGATGGCTTTTAAAACACATCCCCAACAGAGCTCGGAGGCATCTGTTTCAAGAATAAGTTTATCTCCTGTTTGAGGAAAATAGACTTCAGGGATATGAACTAAATCAGCTTTGATTTGTTTGATAATGGTGGTATCACTATCAGTCCAGTCAAAAGCGACATTTTTCTGTAGCTTCTTTATTAAAGGAAGTTCCTTTTGTGATAACCCTTTAATAAAAGTGCGTCCATAATTCAAGATTCCCAAGAAACTTTGAAGCTGCTTTTTATCTTGAATAATGTCAGGAAAATCACGGATCTTAATAATTATATGATCCTGTAGTTTTATACCTTTGTGGGTTAAAACTAGGCCCAGAAAATCAATAGATTCCTTGTTCGTATCCAGAAACCCGATAACATTGGTTTCCGAACAAATTTCGTTTATCGTCTTATCAACGAAAAATGTCTCGAAACTAAAGCCAAGAAACAGGTCAAAAATCAGATCAATGGCACTGCTGAAGGACAACGCTGTTGTGACAGGATTCTCCAAGAAACCTGGAAAATCGGATGTGCTCCTTATAAAGCTACTCCAACCAGATCACCACCTGCAAGACGAAAAATTTTTCGTTGGAAACAGTGGAAAGCTGGCAAGCGCTCAATTCGCGCTTCCAAGAAGTTAAAATTTCATCATTTCCTGTGCGAAAATGGAAAAATTTTGCTGAATTTATTGAATGATTTGAACCAGGCAAAAAGGGAGCTTTCGCTTGGTGTGTAGCCAAAGTGAGTCAGAAGATTCTGGTCAAATAAGAAATTCAGACAACATCTGAGTTCTCTTACCGCCCTCATAGTTGAACAATCAGCCATGACGGAGGAGCTTAAAAAGCTTTGCATCCAGATCTGTCTTACTATTGACTGGGAAAAAGATTTTTCTCTCTCACAAATAAATTATTTTCTGAAACTCGCCCAGTTGGTAGGAGAACAAGATTTTCCACAAAATACGTTTGCAAAAATCAATCGTATCTGTCTTCTTGAAAAAGCAAGGGACATTTTCCCTCCCGATCTCTTTCGCATTATCTATCGAAAGATTGAATATCATTATGATATCATTTGATACTATTATGAAACGTTACATGAAGATATCAATACCTTTGATATGCTTTATAATGGCAAACGAGTCCCTAAATTTGCCTTTTTTATCCTTCCTGGCATAGACTGGTCCATGGAACCTGTTGACTGGGGATTTGTGAACAAACTCACTTTTTCCTCTTATGATTCATACCAAAATTTCCGTGCCATGATCAAATCCATGATTTACAAAGTAAGCCGGCGCTGGAACTATAGCCGCCACCTTACCTTTTGGATTTCTAGTACCATTGGTAGTCGAGAAAAAACCCGATTTTTTCAACCTTATCAAATATGGTATCTCAAACTCACCGCACATGATGAGTACGAGCAACAGCGTCTCCTAAATTCAGAAGAAATTGCTAACAGCATTGTTCCATATTACTTTGAAATTCACAGTTTCTTGCACTTACAAGACACTGCTCGACGCCTTCTTAATGGTTCTTATCACAATCAAGAACCAGTGTTCTACTGTTGTGATGGACGCAAATTATTCGTTACCACAGTTACTTGTTATTACGGTGATGACAATGCAGAAGATCGCATTCATATTGCTAAAGAATTTTTAAAAGAAATCATTAGCATGACTACACTTGATATCCCCTCTCGTGTCAAAGACGGAGCTGAAAGACTCAATCTTTTTCCAAACGAATTTTAGAACAATTCAGTGGAAATACGACCATTGACTATACCTCACATGGACGTTGCGGATTCAATATCCTTAACAAGGAAAAAATTGAACGATGGAAACAGTAAAACCCTCTTGCCCAATATATCCATATTGGATTAGTTCAAATCAAAATAACTTCCCTATTTCGACGCGGTACTGATCAACCTCTTATTGCTCTTATCATGGACAATCGTTTTCATAAACCCGTCGATGCTCTTATCGGAGGTGTTCAATCCAATCTGGTCAATAATCTTATGTGGTTTAAAATCAAACCAAATTATTTCGTTTCACTTTCCGATCCAAACATTGAGAAAGTTCTTCAAGTCAGACTTCAGTTGTCAAATTTCATCATTTCCTGTGCGAAAATGGAAAAATTTTGCTGAATTTATTGAATGATTTGAACCAGGCAAAAAGGGAGCATTGCCGTTAGGATTAACAGGCATTTCCTGTGCGAAAATGGAAAAATTTTGCTGAATTTTACAGTGGTCCAGATTCGATGTAGGCTCTGATACCAATGACAAACACATGCGGAATTGAAATAAGAACTGAGGTTTACACAAGGATGTTACAAGGATGTTATAAGGTACTGAGGTTTACACAAGGATGTTACAAGGTACTGATAGACAAATACAAAAAACACAGATGCCTAAACCATTCTGGGGCTTTGGTTTAAATAACATTACAAAAGGGTAAACAGTTCTGGAGAAGATAAGAACGAATCTTTTCTTTTACTGCTTGAAAAAGTGAGTGTCGGCAACTTTCACTGTTGATGAATAGTTTGTCGGCAGCTTTCGGTTACTTTTGCTTTTGGAAAAAGTAGACATGACAACGTCTTCTGTCGCGTGCTGGATCATTATTTGCAGTCGCGTGGAGAAGAGTGTCGGCTTAACCTTCCATTGCATTGATGATATTATGGAGTTCATATTCATCAAGTGGAGGGGTACTGGCAGGAGACTGTGCGTCGGCAATATCCCTTTCAAGATTGAGTCTTTTAGCTCCGTCTTTGACACGAGAGGGGATATCAAGTGTAGTCATGCTAATAATTTCTTTTAAAAATTCTTTAGCAATATGAATGCGATCTTCTGTATTGTCATCACCGTAATA